ACTTGATGGCACCTAACAATAACAACAAAAAAAAGATCCTTTAAGCTTGTTTGCCTTCACTTCCAGCTGCCATCTCCAGCCCCAGACAATGCTACTTTGCTTTCTGTTTTTCTGCTTTTTTAGGGCATTTCATATCAAAGGAATCATACAAAATGTGATCTGCATCTGATTGGTTCACTGAGCACATCTCCGAGGACCATCTTTTTTGCAGCATTTTTATCAGTAATTTGTTTCTGTTTATAACTGAGTAGTATTCCATGGGCTGGATACGCCACATAGGGTTTTCCATTCATCAGTCGATGGATATTTGGGCTATTCCTACTTTTGAGTTATTATGAACATTTATGTGCAAGGCTTTGCATGGACTGTGTTTTCATTTCTCTTGGGTATAAACCTATAAGTGGAATTGATGAGTCATTTGAAAATGGAGCCCTGGTGGCACCGTGGAGAAATCACAGGGCTAATGGAAAGGTCGGCCGTTCAAATCCATCAGTCACTCCATGGGAAAAAGATGAGGTGTCTGCTCCCAGAACGGTTCACAGTCTCCAGAGCAGCTCTGTCTGTGTCCTGAAGTGATTGCTGTGGGTACGAATTGACTTATCAGCAATGGAGGGTTTTGTGTATGTGTGTGTTTTAATGGTAATTTGATATTTAAGTTTTTAAGAAATTCCTGAACTGTTTCCCAATATGAAAACATTTTACATTCCCAGCGGGTCCAATTTCCCCACACCCTCACAACACCTCCTGCTTTTAGATGAGTTAAAATGGGGGTTTGAGTGGAGGTTGACCAGCCCAAGGTCACACAGAAGTGAGGAGCTGAACTCAATTTGAACCCAGGCTTGGCCAACTTCATAGTTTGTCCTGTTGGCATCAGTCTGCTCCATGGAGGGACTGTGAATAAATGCAGGACCACTGTGAGCTGCCAAGCTTGGTCCTAGGATCTGGTGGAAGGGCTTGGAGGAGTCTGAGGAATGATTGAAGAGGGGGTCCCTCTGCAGTCCTTGGCTCACACTCCCTCCTGAGGGTACTGTGGCAGAGAACCTTACTTCTGGGTGGTAGTGGTAGATGCCAGTCAGCATGGTCTTACCCTCTGCCAACAGCTAAGGTGTCCTCCCCACCCAGTCTTTATTCCCACAGGCTGCCATGTCCTTGACTAGTAGACTTGCTTGTGCCATTTGGGTCTTGGCACTTCATTCATTTCATTTCTTATCATAAAGTATCTGTAATGATGTCCCACTCACCACGCTCCCCTCAAGTCATGGCTCTTTGCAGGAGAACGAAAAGGCTTTCTGCTCTCATTCTAGCCTTTCTGCCACTGTCAGGGTCCACATGCCACCCACAAGTGACAAAGAAGGATCACTCAGTTCATCTGCAGACTTTGGGGAAGGCCTGGTCACAGGGCACCTTCCCAGTATCACAAAAAGACTCAGGTACAACCAGCACATGGCAGTGTAGCCTCAGTCATCCCAAGCAGGCCTCCCTCCCCATCCCACAGGTCCTCCTCTTAGAATGACCACCCTGATTGCAAGGAAAAGAGACCTCAGGCATCCAAAGGGTCCAGACCACCCATCCATCCTTCTTTTGACAAACCACCTGAAGAACTTGGAATAGGGAAGGAGATCAGAAGTGTGCATTTATTGAGCACCAATTTTACATCATGTCTCTTTCATGCACACTGTTTCTCTGGATCCTTATATGAACTCTGAGCATTGAATACTCACTGTACCTGTGAGGAAGGAGACTCAGGCTAGTGACTTGCTCAAAGTAGCACATATTGAGTGGCAAGTCCCCACCCATCACACCCTCAAAAGCTGGGTGATGTCCCACAATAGTGTTCCAAGTATCCTTGGGTCTTTTGTAAATCTGCCACTTCCCTACCATGTGACCTTGGGAAAAATAGCTGACCCTCTCTGAATTATAGCTGTGGGATTATCCAGATATTCCATGTGAGGGGTTCAGCGTGGCGCCTGGTCATCAGCAAGAACTAGCAAATACTGTGGTTCAGCTATTGTGACTAGGAGACTTCTCAGGCTGGAGAGCAGGGCCTGCTGGCCTCTCATCCCCACTGGACCATTAGGAGGGTCACTCTTTTTGGTGCTCTCACCTACTGTCTAGGGTCAGGCATCAGGAGAAGGGTCGAGACCCTGGAGGCAGGGTCTTTTGTGGCAACCCAAGTTCCATTCCCAGCTGTCCAACCTCAGGGAGCAAATTCTAGCTGGGATGAAGTGGACAAAGGCAGGAAAAGGTCTCGGGACTTCAGTACCTTCCTGATATTTGCTGCATCTCCGAGCCTTCCCATCCTCACATCCAAGTCAGACCTCCTCCTCCTGGCAGCCTCCCAGCTCCTGACTCACCTGCCAGTCCCCACGGCCCAGTGCCCAGGGCATTGGTGGCACCAGAACGCTGGGAACTCTGCCCAGGGCAGAACTGGAGTCTCCTGGGAACAACTCTAGCTCAGCCTGACCAATTTTTGTTCTCTCCACCCTGCAGAGGAGGCACTATGGACAACTCGGGCCGATGGGCGTGTTCGCCTACGCATAGACCCCAGCTGCCCACAGCCTCCCTGCACCGTGCACCAGATGTTCTACGAGGCCCTGGACAAGTATGGCAGCCTCAGTGCCCTGGGTTTCAAACGCCAGGGCAAATGGGAGCGCATCTCCTACTTCCAATACTACCTGTTCTCTCGAAGAGCCGCCAAGAGCTTCCTGAAGGTGAGGAGCTCCTCCCCCAGCCCCTGACCTGCATTCCAGCTCTGGTCCTCCCCAACCCCTACCTGGTAAGGCCCTTTGAAATCTTCAAAGTAGCTGTAAAGACCACCACTATTTTCTGAGGGTCTGCCTATTCTGATATTCAATGTGGGCTGGAAGCTCATGTGGTGGGCTAGGAGCTGGGCTCCTTGGGAAAGTCTGGGACCAGGGCAGCAAGGGTTGTTGAGTGATAAACAATCCCCCAGAGGATTCTCTGACTGATGGGGCCCTGGGAGGGTGAGCCCCCCGGAAAGGCCTGCAGGGTCTCCTGCAGTGCAGATGGAGGGCATGATGGGAGTGGGAAGCTCCTTCCGTGCCCAGTTGACCTGGCCTGTCTGCCTTTGACCTGGAGCTCGGCTTGGAGCGGGCCCACAGCGTGGCCATCCTCAGCTTCAACTCTCCAGAGTGGTTCTACTCGGCTGTGGGCACAGTATTTGCAGGGTGAGTGGCTGGGTGGGCTGGGGTCTTCAGTGGGTTGGTGGTGGACAGAGAGTGGACATGGTGGTATTATTTCTGATTTAGAGCCTGGGGATGTAGCCACCATTGGGGGCCTTTGCAGATCTCTCACCTCCCACCTTTCTCCAACATCCCATCTCTTCCCTGGGCCTTCTCCTAGTCTGCCTGGGGAGGGTGTGTTGAGATGATTGGGAACCCTCTGGAGCAGGGGTGACGGGTGGTGGCCCCTCTGAACCTGCCCACACACAAATCCTCTCTGTCTCCTGTAGCGGCATCATCACCGGTATCTACACAACCAGCTCCCCCGAGGCCTGCCGGTTCATCGCCCATGACTGCCGGGCCAACATCATCATGGTTGACACACAGAAACAGCTGGAGAAGATCCTGAAGGTTCGTAGGGAGAGAAGGTGGAGGGGCAGAGGCTGGGCCCTCATGGACCTCCAGGCCACCGTACAAAGGACTACTCTATCATCTCAGCCAAGGAGCTCTGCTAACGTAGTGGTTACCAGTCGGGCTGCTAACCTCAAGGTCAGCAGTTCGAAGCTACCAGCTGTTTCGTGGGAGAAAGATGAGGCTTTCTGTTCCCGTAAAGATTTACAGCCTCGGAAAAGAACCAACTCCATGGCACAAAACCACCACCATCCTCTCAGCCAGTGTCCCCCTCATCCTCACAGAAATCTCCCTCCCTCCCTGCCCCCTGCTAACACATACATAGAGCAAGACAGAGGAATGGTTGCCTGCCCATTTCACAAACCCCAAAAGCACAGGGACCTGCCCCAGGTCACACATGAAGGTGGTGATCAGGTCATGGGTCAGGACTCCCAACCAGTCCACTGCCTCCAGTAGCTTTCTGTTCAGGATGAGATCTCTCCTGGAGGTGAGAGGGACGTAGAGTCCTTTTAATGACTTGACCCCTTTATGGCTAATCCCTCTTTATCTCTAAAACAGTTCATGTTCCAAATCTACTTTGTCGTGAATACAACCCCTCTAGCTTTCTTATGATTAATGTTAACCTGTCGTATATATTTTTTATTCTTATACTTTTAACTTAGAGAGCCTTGGTGACACAATGGTTGAGCGTTCCGCTGCTAACCAAAAGAGGTGGGTGGTTCAAAACTACCTGCGACTTCATGGGCAATCAGCTCCCATAAAGACTGAAGCCTAGGAACCCCTAAGGGGCATTTCTATTTTGTCACACAGGGTTGCTATGAGGCAGTATTAACTCAACAGCACACAACAACTTTCAACATGTATGTGTCTTTTCATTTAACGTAAATTTCTTGTAGACAGTTGTCTTTTTGTCGGCTCTGACAATGTCTGTCTATAAATCCATTTCATTATTTGTTTTCTGTTCCATTTCTCCTAATGCTTTCCTATTGAGGTTGTTTTGTTTTGCTTGTGTGTGTGAGTGCTCAGTTTGTTTTGGGTATCACATTTTACCTGCACATGCCCAGAAGTACAAGCCAGATTTCAGACAAAAACATGGAACGAGGGATATAATTACTGATGTCAGATGGATCTTGGCTGAAAGCAAAGAAGACCAGAAAGATGTTTACCTGTGCTTTCTGGACTATGTAAAGGCTTTCGATTGTGTGGATCATGACAAGCTATGGACAACATTGCAAAGCATGTGTATTCCGGAACACTTAATTGTGCTCTTGAGGAATCCTGTACAGAGAGACCAAGAGACAGTTGTTCAAACAGATCATGGGAATACTGAATGGTTTAAAATCAGGAAAGTTGTGCACCAGGATTGTATCCTTTCATCATACTTACTCAATATGTATGCTGAGCACATAATCCAAGAAGCAGGATTATATGAAGATAATCATGGCATCAGGAATGGAGGAAGACTCATTAACAACCTTCGATATGCAGATTATACAACCTTGCTTACTGAAAGCAAAGAAAACTTAAAATCTTTACTGAGGAAGATCAAAAACCACAGCCTTCAGTATGGGTTGCACCTCAATATAAAGAAAACAAAAATCCTCACCACTAGACTAATAAATATCATCCATATAAATGGAGAAAAGACTGAAATTGTCAAAGACTTCATTTTGCTCAGATCAACCATTAACACTCATGGAAGCAGCAGTCAAGATATTAAACAACGTACTGCATTAGGCAAATCTGCTGCACACGACCTCTTTATAGTGTTTAAGAGCAAAGATGTCAGTTTGAAGAGTAAGGTGCACCAGACTCAAGCCATGGTATTTTCAATAGCCTCATATGCATGTGAAAGTTGGACAATGAATAAGGAAGACTGCAGAAGAATTGGTACACGAGTTATGGTGTTGGAGGAGAACATTAAAAGTACCATGGATTCCACAAGAACAAATGAATCTGTTGGAAGAAGTACAGCCAGAATGCTCCATGGAAGCCAGGCTGGCCAGACTTCACCTTTCATACTTAGGACATACTATCAGAAGGGGCATCATACTTGGTAAAATGAAGGGTCAGAGAAAAAGAGGAAGACCCCCAATGAGATGGATGGGCACAGTGGCAGCAGCAATGGGCTCAAATGTAGCAACCATTGTGAGGCTGGCACAGGACCGGGCAGTGTTTCATTCTGTTGTACATAGGGTCACTATGAGTCAGTACCGCCTCGATGGCACCTACCAACAACAGCAATAACAGTGGGTTATTAGTTACCCCTCGTTGTTATACTATGTTAGTGTTTGCTGTAGGGTTTACAATATATGTCTTTAATTTATCGCAATTCATTTTCTGATGATATTATATCACTTCACATGCACTATGAGGGGCTTACAGTGCTGTATTTCCATATCTTTTCCCATCTTTTGCATTATTGTCACCTGTTTTACTTCTACACGTTATAAACCCAACAATATATTACTATTATTGCTTTAAGCAGCTAAGTATCTTTCTAAGAAATTTTAAAAGAATGAGCATTTATATTTTTTATTTATTTATAATTTCTGACAACTCTTCATTTCTTTATGTAGATCCAAGTTTCCGTCTGATAGCCTCTTTCTTCTGCCTTAAGAACTTTCTTCCACATTCCTTTTTAACTTTTTTTGTGAATCAAGTGAAGGTTTACAAATCAGATGATCACTTTTTACATTCAACAAACCACACACTCTGTTTCATCTCTATTGCAGTCTCCTCAACAGGACATCATTTATCCCACTTCCTCCCTGTGTTTTTTGTTTCCATTCCTCCATTTTTCCCCATCCTTCTGAATTTTGTTCTTAGGTAAATGCTGCCCTTTTGATCTCAAATTGTTTCCCATTCTATGGTGTGCATACCTCACTAGTGTTGTGGTTACCCCAGTGTATCTATTGCTTGGCTGAAAGTGAGCCATGGGGTGAGTGCAATGCTTGACCTGAAGGGGAACAAGGGCCTAAGTCTTGGCGTTCCACCAGTTTCTATCTGACCACCAAACCTGGACTTTTTTATGATTTTGAGTTTTGTGCCACATTTTCTCCCACTCTGTCCAGGACTTTCTAATGAGACCCCTTGCAGAGCAGTTGGCAGTGATTGCTGGGCACCATCTAGTTCTTCTGGTCTCAGGGTCATGAAGACTGATGTTCATGTGACTCCTTAGTCCATCGGACTAATTGTTTCCACACGTCTTCAAATTTCATCACTCATCTTTCCTCCAAACATGGAGAGACCGACAGCTGCACCTTCGATGGCTGTTCATAAACTTTTAAGGTCCCAGTCACTGCTCACCAAAGTAGGTTGTAGGACATTGTCTTTGTGAACTATGTTATGCAAATTCACCATGTATCCCCCAAGAATGTGGTCCTGAGCAATCATTCTCTCAACGTGTTTGGTAATGTCTAAGAAGTTTTTATATAATTTTGTCCCCTGCATGTTCCATCACACTCACATATGTTTGCAACAGTAAATGTTAGGTGCCATCAAGTCGGCACCAACTCATAGTGACCCTATGCACAACAGAATGAAACACTGTCCAATCCTGGACCAACCTCAAAATTGTTGTCACGCTTGAGCCCATTGATGCTGCCACTTGGCCAATCCATCTCACTGGGGGTCTTCCTCTATTTCTCTGACCCTCCACCTTGCCAAACATGATATCCTTCTCCAGTGACTGGTTCCTCCTGATCGTATTTCCAAAGTATGAGAGATGAAGTTTGGCCATCCTGGCCTCCAAGGAGCACTGTGGCTGCACTTCTTCAAACACAGATCTGTTGGTTCTTTTGGCAGCCCATGGCACTTTCAATATTCTCCTCCAACACCATAACTCAAAAGCATCAATTCTATGGTCTTCCTTATTCACTGTCCTGCTTTAGCATGCATATGATGTTATTGAAAATACCATGGCTTGGTTCAGGCGCACCTTAGTCCTCAAGCTGACATCTTTACTTTTCAACACTTTAAAAAGGTCTTGTGCAGCAGATTTGCCCAATGCAGTATGTCAGTAGTAAATACCCACATACAAATATCCTCTTTGCAACCTTTATATGAATGCTAGACTTACTGGTATTGGCCCACAGGTAATATATTCTTGTGTTTTTCTTTTTCCTCTCTGTCTCTCCTTCTGGACTTCATTTTGAGTTTAATCTTTTTTAGAGCATGTCTTTAGACAGCTGCCTTAGTTTCTTAGTGTTGTAGTAGCAAGTAGATGGTTTTAAGGAACAGAATTTTATTTTCTCACAGTTTAAGAGGCTACAAGTGTGTATTCAGGATGTCAGTTCTAGAAGAAAATTTACTGTCTCTTAACCTCTAGTTTTGTTGTTGTTAAGTGCCGTCAAGTCAGTTCCTCCAACCCATAGTGACCCTGTATAGGGTTTTCAAGAAGCAGTTGGTGAGTTTGAATTGCCGACCTTGCAGTTCAAAGCGACTTTGCAGTCTGGCACATTAATTCACAGCACCACACCAGGACTCCTTCTAGTAGCTGCTGGTATTACTTAGTCTTCTTAGGCTTATAGATATGCCTGTCTTTGTAGTCTATAGCTTCCCAACTGTGTGTGTACCTGTTTCTTCTGCTCTTTTTGTGAGACCTCATTCAGAAGTGATAATGTTTAGGATCCACTCTACTCTGGTATAGGGAGGCCTGGTGTGGCGCTGTGGGTTAATGCGCTAGACTGCAAAGTCAATTTGAACCACAAGGTTGACGGTTCAAGCTCACCAGCTGCTCCTCAGAAACCCTATACAGGGTCGCTATGGGTTGGAACGGACTAAACGGCACTTAACAACAACAACTGCTACTCTGGTATGGCTTCATTAACATAAACAGAATTGAACTTCGATTGATTTCCAGACAGGATCAGGGATTATGACTATAACATAACTTTTGGGGGGACAGAGTTCAATCCATAACAATAGTCTTTAGCTCTACTATGAAGATAGGACCCTTCTGGGATCTTTATTCATGTACTCAATGAGGGTCTTCCATTTTGACAACATGAGCAAATCCTGGCTTTACAGGAGCTCTTGTTTGTCTCATAGCCCCAGTAACTGTTCCTTATCCAGAAGTTGCTGGGGGTTCCCACCCAGATTTATGGAACATCACCCTATACATAAGGAGCTCTGGTAGCATAGTGGTTATGAATCGGGCTGCGAACCGCAAGGTCAGCAGTTTGAAACTACCAGCTGTTCCACGGGAGAAAGAGGAGGCTTTCTGCTCCTGTAAAGACTTACAGCCTTGGAAACCTTGTACAGGGTTGTGATGAGTTGGAACCGACTCCACCATGGCACGTAACAACAACAACCACCCTATATATATGCAAATGAATGCTCAGCCAAAGACTCAAGAAGACCCCTAAACAGATCTCTAGGGCTCTTTTTCCACATAGTTTCTTCCTCTCTGATATTCTGCTCCACAAATTCTACCCATCTCCTCTCTTTTGAATGCTGATTTCGGTCTTCTCAACTCAGCGAGGTTCTATATGGGTTCTGGTCTACCTCTGCCATCCTCCAGAAACTGAGAGAGAACTCCGTCAGCCAGAGGCTTGAGTCACTTGTTTCTTGTCTAAGAGATGACAGCTCGTATCACCTGTAGTTCAGTGTCTGAAAATGGTTGTTTTACGTGTTGTGTCCAGTTTTCCAGTATGTACAAAGGGAGGAAAGATGCTACGTCCTTGTGACCAGAATCAGGAATCCCAGGAATACATACTTTTTGAAAGGAAGAAATGAGTTTACACTATATCTGATTTAAAGTTGCATTATGGGGTTTGAACTTACTTTCTTTGCTTTTAGTCTTACATCCCTTTTACCTGAAATCTCAGGTTCACTGTAAGACAGAAATGACTCAACAGCATTGAAAAATGTTAAATCTCAGGTTGTAGTAATATTAATCCAATTATTGATTCACTATAGTAGGATACTAGAAGCATTGTGGCCCCATATAATAAGCACTGGACTGCACACCACAAGGCCTGTGGTTTGAGTCTGCCAGCTGCTCTGCAGGAGAAACATGAGACTTTCTGCTCCCATGAAGATTTAGGACCTAGGAAATCCTCTACAGGGTCGTTATGATTCAGAACCGACTTGATGGCACTTAACAACAACAACATAGTAGGACACTATTTCATGTGTGTGTGTGCGTGACCCATAGGGTTTTTGCTTTTTTTAAAATTATGAATGGAGTGAAGGTTTATAGACAAGATCATTGGTTTTCCATTCAACAAATCGTACACTTGGTTTCATCTCAATGATTGCAATCCGTGTAAAAAGAGTTGCTCTGCTTCCGGCCTGTGGTTACCCATATTCAAAAGTCCTCTTTCAAACTCATATATTTGTGGGATATATACATATATACTTCCGCTCTTTCTCCCACACCCATTCAGCCTACGTCTCTATCTGTGTATCTACACACACAACACTGTGTCTCCGAGGTTGTGTATAGATCACTATTTATCTTTATCCCCTTTAGCCCTCGTATACCTCCTGGGTCTTCATCCATCTTCATCCTTCTTCTGATAACTTCCCTCTTCTTTTTTTTGCCTTCCCTTTCTTGTATATTGCCCTTCCCATCTCCCAAGTAAACATGTGTCTACCCTCTAGCCAGTGACTTACTCTCCTTTCCCTCCCACCCCTGCTAACCATCAAAGAATGTTTCTTTCAGGATGAAAACCTTTTTTTGAGCTTCTACAGTAGTGGTTTAATACAGTATGTGTCATTTTATGATTGACTTGTTTCACTTGGTATAATGTCCTTCAGGTTCATCCATGATATGAGGTGTTTCACAGATTCATCATTATTCCTCAACACTGCATAGTATTCCATCATGTGTATGTACCAAAGTTGGTTTGTTGTTGGTAAGTGCTGTCGAGTCAGCTCCGACCCATAGTGACCCTGTATAGGGTTTCCAAGGAACAGCTGGTGACCTTGAACCTTGCAGTTCAAAGGGCTTTGCAGTCTGGCGCATTAACCCACAGCGCCATACCAGGACTCCAAAGTTTGTTTGGCAGGATATTATTTTCATAAAATAAGCAGTATCAATACCATTACCAACAATAAGACTAATGAAAAAAGCTTGGGGTTTCTTTTTTTGCCCTTAGAATATATGCCACTGTTGTTGTTGTTAATGCCACTGAGGTGATTCCGACTCATAACGACCCTGTATAGAGTCCTGATGTGGCACTGTAGGACAAGCACTCGACCTCAAGGTCGGTTTGAACCACAAGGTCGGTCCTTGGAAACCCTATACAGGGTCGCCCTGAGGCGGAACCGACTCAACCGCACTTAACAACAACAACAACAACAACAACGTAGGGTTTCCAAGGAGTGGTTGGTAAGTTTGAACTGCTGACCTTGCAGTTCAAATAGACCTTGTGGTCCAGTGCTTATCCTACAGTGTCACACCAGGACTCCAATATGCCACTACGGAAGGAAATTCAAAATGCAGATTTCTAAAATTCCATGATGTAATTCTGTGTGTGTGTGTGTGTATGTGGTTATGCCACCAACTTGGTAAAGGTTGTTGTTGTTAAGTGCCATGGAGTCACTTCTGACTCATAGCCACTCTGTATAGGGTTTCTGGGGAGCCATTGGTGGGTTTGAACCATCGACCTCGCAGCCTAGTGCATTATCCTGTAGAGCCACAACAGGCGCTTGGTATATAGTCAGACTCATGTCTTTTAGTTTGTTTTCAATTTTTAGGGAACCTTTTCCTTCCCTTTTCATATACTTTATTTTTAAAAGATTGTAATATATATCTGACAAAGTTCAAATTACATCATACAACATACCCGAAGGAGTTTGACTTGCATTCCTTTCATCTTAGCCCTTTCCCTTCCTCTATGGTCAAGGAGCTCTGGTAGCGTAGTGGTTACGAATCGGGCTGCAAACCTAAAGGTCAGCGGTTCGAAACTACCAGCTGCTCCACGGGAGAAAGATGAGGCTTTCTACTCCCGTAAGGATTTACACCCTCGGAAACCCTGTACAGGGTCGCTATGGGTCGGAACCAACTCGACGGCACGTAACATGGTCAATTTGATTAGCTTTTGGTTTCACCTTCCAGGGTTTCTTTTTGCAAACAGAAGCTAACGCATGCTTAAAGGTCCACTTTGTTCATTTCTTACACAGACAGCAGGCTATAGACATTTCCACATGTCTTTTTTCACTTAATAATATATCTTAGGAACCATTCCATGTCAGTACATTCCTCTTCCCTAAACCCATCGCAGCTTTCTCTGTTTTTTTTACAGTTGCATACTCCTCCATTGTGTGACTGTATCATAGTTTGTTTAGCCAGACTCCATGTTATTTATGGGCCTTCCTTTAGTCGGGAGTCATTTCCAGCCCCTAGCCTATCCTCTGGGAGTACTGGTGTGGCGCTGTGGGTTAAAGTGCCAGACTGCAAAGTTGTTTGAACTGCAAGGTCGGCGGTTCAAGCTCACCAGTTGCTTCTCAGAAACCCTATATAGGGTTGCTATGGGTCGCAATCGACTCTACGGCACTTAACAACAACAGTCTATTCCCTTTACTGCTCCAAAATCCTTATGATGGGAAAACTATGAAAAAGTTCTCCTGCCCAACAGGGGTCAAATGTTGACGATGGGAAACCCAGCAAGCTATGGCACACAGTGCCTGCCAGGCTGGCTAACAGCTTGTTGAAACCTCATTTTTTTCCCTGTCAACACAGATCTGGAAATATTTGCCCCATCTGAAGGCAGTAGTGATATATCAGGAACCTCTTCCGAAGAAGATGACCAATGTGTACACGGTATGGATAGTGGGGTTTTGGGCATCAGGTGGCCTGTCTGAGTCTACGCAACTGACCTTTCTCCTCCCCTGGCCACAGATGGATGAATTCATGGAGCTGGGGAATGAGGTGCCAGAGGAGACCCTGGACAACATCATCAGTGCCCAGCAGCCCAACCAGTGTTGCGCACTGGTCTACACGTCAGGCACTACCGGAAGTCCCAAGGGTGTGATGCTGAGTCAAGACAATGTAGGAGAGATGTCTTGGATGGGGGGTGCTGGGCTGTGGGTGAATCGGGGACAATGGCCCTGCCTGGCAGACCCTGGGGAGGACTCCTCTGGTCCTTGGCTCAGAGAGCTGGGATAAATAAGACAGTCTGTCATCTATGGTCCAGACTGAGTCCAGCTAAGGGGAAGTGGAAAGAGGAAGAGGCCTAGGAGGGTGCCCACTCTGGATCAGGTCCCTGAAAAAGTATGCCCAGACACCCATGGTAGCCACAGATGAAACAAACAGGCTTGTGGACATTTCTGGGGCACACCTACCTCTTCTTCAGATCACATGGACAGCACAGTACGGCAGCCAAGCTGGAGGTATCCAACCAGCAGAAATCCAGCAGGAGGTAGTAGTCAGCTACCTGCCCCTCAGTCACATTGCTGCTCAGATCTATGACTTGTGGACAGGCATCCAGTGGGGAGCTCAGGTCTGCTTTGCTGAACCTGATGCCCTAAAGGTCAGTGTGTTTCAATACTCTTGTGTGTGTCTGAGTGGGTGAGTAAAAGACACATCCAAATGTGAGCTCATGTATGTGGGTCTGGTGTGCGCATTTGTGGCTGTGCTATTCTCAGTCAGAATTCTTTCAGCACCAGTTAGCACCACCTGAATCAAGTGGTCACGAAGGGAAAATGATCGCATGAAATAAAGGAAAATCCAGCCAGAGTGGTTCAGTGGGTCCAGAACACCACCAAGCATGGGCCATCCTTAGTGGATGACCACAAGATGGTCACAACCCTGCTCTTTGCACTACAGCCTCTTAGAGGTACGAGTCTTTTTAACTGTGAGGAAACCTTTCCCAGAACCCCCCTGGCTGACTCCCTTTGTATCTCATTGATCCAAGTAGTGACACATGCTCATTACTAAACCAGTCACTGCTTAAGGGGCTGGAGAGTCTGCACCTCCAGGGATGAAAAGGAACTGAGATCTTTTAAAGCATTTGGCCATGCTGATACAGGAACAGAGAGCAAAGAAGGGCGAAGGGATAGCTGATGAGTGGGCAGCCATAAGTTGGGTGCAGGTGTGTAGGTGCGCCTGTACGATGATTGTGTGTACACATCTGACTGGTGAGAGGGGTCTCCTGGACCAACAGACCTGCCCTCTTGCTGCCTGTGAACAGGGCAGTCTAGTGAACACACTACGGGAAGTGGAGCCCACATCCCACATGGGAGTCCCGCGGGTGTGGGAGAAGATCATGGAGAGAATCCAGGAGGTGGCGGCCCAGTCTGGCTTCATCAGGCGCAAGATGTTGCTGTGGGCCATGTCAGTGACCTTGGAGCAAAACCTCAGCTGCCCGGGCAGGTACAGAGGGTCAGGGAGCAGGAGGCCTGGGGAGGCAGCCGGCCCCACTGACTTGTCAATTTTAAGGGATCCCTATGCAGAGACCCTGCTAAAGGCCCATCCTTTGCCCGGGCCTCACTGGGAACAGTCAGCTCATCTTTGGGTTCTGCCTGGGAGGACTGACTTACCACCCTGAGAGTGGCACTGGTCCCATCTCCTGACCTCAGAGCAGTGGCTAAAGTAAGGGCCACAGATGTGGGCATCCAACTGCACGTACACACGGTTCAATTTGGTTGTATTTATAATTCCTCTAACTTTGGTCTGTAAGCAGGTCAATGGGGGAAATGTGACTTGGTTTCAATTTCTAAATATCTTCCATTACCAGTCTATCTGTGAAACTATCTTATTTCATGAGACATGATACACGTGTCTACACACCGACAGCCTCATGCATACAGACGTGACAAGCGAGTATGTATGCACAAAAACACTCATGGGCTTCCAATGGGATGGATGCACACTGGTTTGTACGTGTGTGCTTATGCATGTATGCTTTCAGTCTCTGCACAAGTATATTTTGTGTACAAACTTGCATGCACCTGTTGTTACCTGTATAGTACCGAATCTGTTTGGGTGCCTACCTGGCTCAATACACATTAATGCACAATGTTATGCATGCATGCCCACGTTTGCATTCATGCACGCCCCTGAGCAGCACCAGTATTCGAAATATTTAACAGCCTTGACACCTACCCAACAGAAGAGGTAACTGTTATGGTTGTGCCAGTGTGTACCCACTTTTAGTATGTGAGTGTGTGTGTGTTTTCTTCTTTGGACCGGTTTCCCTTTCCTATCAGCGACCTGAAGCCCTTCACGACCAGATTGGCAGATTACCTGGTGCTAGCCAAGGTCCGCCAGGCACTGGGCTTTGCCAAGTGTCAGAAGAGCTTCTACGGAGCGGCGCCCATGACTGCAGAGACACAGCGCTTCTTCCTGGGCCTCAACATTCGCTTGTATGCAGGCTATGGGCTCAGTGAGACCTCAGGTCCCCACTTTGTGTCCAGTCCCTACAACTACCGGCTCTACAGGTGAGGCTTGAGGCTTTGGCACGTACTCTTGACCACATAGCCATGTGTTCTTGAGACAGCCCTCGATGCCCAGCCTACTGCTGGAGGCCCTGAGGACCCTTACCACTTTCCATATTCATTGCGCCCCAGAGACACACACCCCGGTGCCAATGTTGCCATTTTGGCCAAGTCTTTTGCTTCTTTGGGTCTCAGTTATCTCTTCAGTCCAGGGGGAATGAGGTGGTCATGGTTTCTGCCACTGTATCACACGATCTGTGATGAAAAACAGCTTAACAGCCAGGCACTCCCTGAGCAAGGTTCCTGTGATGGGGGACCTTCCCTTCGTCTTTTCCTGCCAGTGGGATGGAGTGTATTAGATTGTATCCTGAGCTGGCTGGTGACCCGGCTTCGAGCTGGAGCGGGGTGGAGGGACACAGACAATGGGCAGGAAGGGCAGTCAGCCCTGGGGGAGCGATTTGCAGGATCATCTGTTGAGCTTATAAATACCTCCCCTCTCTGCCCACAATTACATTCCTTGAGGTTCCACCACTAGGGTTCAGTTCATTCGTTTGGTAACCCCACTAAAAAGCTCCATGAGCCCCATCTTTTAGCTCTAAGACAAAACAGAAAAGCCCCCAGAGGAGATACTTTATAAGTCATCAGGGAGGCTGAGGGGTTCGTACCCCCTGTCCTATCCCCACCCCAAGGGAAAGGTGGCCTGGGGCTTGGAGGAATAGTCTCCCTCTGAGCACGCCTCCTGCCCTCTGTCCCCAGCTCCGGCAAGGTGGTGCCAGGCTGCCGGGTGAAGCTGGTGAATGAGGACACCGAGGGCACTGGAGAGATCTGCCTGTGGGGCCGTACCATCTTCATGGGCTACCTGAACATGGACGACAAGACGTGTGAGGCCATCGATGCCGACGGCTGGCTGCACACAGGTGATGCCGGCCGCCTGGATGCCGACGGCTTCCTCTACATCACCGGGCGCCTCAAAGGTGAGCTTGCCCGCTGGCTGGCCAGCAGAGGTTCAAGGCTGTGGTGGGCCTGAGCAGTACGTCACTCCAGCCACTAAACCCACTCCCAAGTATTGAGCTTTCCTGACACCATCTTACCCTCTCCATGCCTGTGGGGCAAGTAGTCTCCTTTTCTGTATATCGCCCTCCCGAGTAAACCTGTGTCTACCTTCCACCCACCTCTAGAAAACATCAATGAATGTTTCCTTTAGCATGAAAACCTTTTCTGAAGCTTTTATAATAATGGCCTCAGGAAATATTTGTCCTGTGATTGACTACCTTCACTCAACATAATGTCCGCCAGGTTCACCCAGGTTATGAGGTGTTTCATTGAGTCATTATTCTTCACTGTTGTGCAATATTCCACTGTGTGTAGGTACCAAAGTTTGTTTACCCATGCTTCCACTGATGGGCTTTTAGGCTGTCTCCATTTTTTTGCTACTGTGAATAGTGCTGATGAGCATTGGTGTGCTTATATCTACCCATGTTCAGCCTCTTATTTCATGTGGCTATATACCACTGAACCGATAAACATTCTTATTAATGGAGAAAAGATTGAAGTTGTCAAGGACTTCATTCTTCTTGGATCAACTATCAACACTCATGGAAGCAGCAGTCAGGAAATCAAACAACGTATTGCATTCGGCAAATCTGCTGCACAAGACCTTTTTCAAGTGTTGAATAGTAAAGATGTCAGCTTGAAGACTAAGGTGCACCTGACCCAAGCCATGGTAGTTTTAATAACCTCATATGCATGTGAAAGTTAGACAGTGAATAAAGGAAGACCGTAGAAGAATTGATGCTTTTGAGTTTTGTTGTTAGAGGAGAATATTGAAAGTGCCATGGGCTGCCAAAAGAACCAACAGATCTGTGTTGGAAGAAGTGAAGCCAGAGTGCTCTTTGGAGGCCAGGATGGCCAGACTTCATCTCTCATGCTTCGGACATACTGTCAGGAGGGACCAGTCACTGGAGAAAGATATCAAGTTTGGTAGGGTGGAGGGTCAGAGAAAAAGAGGATTTGCCAATCCCACAGCGAGATGGATTGGCCAAGTGGCAGCATCAATGGGCTCAAGCGTGGCAACGATTGTGAGGTTGGCCCAGGACCGGGCAGTGTTTTGTTCTGTTGTACATAGGGTCGACTTGATGGCACCTAACTATACAAAGTAGAGGATTCTGGATAATAACGTATTTCTATTTCCAACTTCCTGAGGAAGCGCCATACAGTTTTCCACAGTGGTGTGGCGCTGTTGTTAATAAGCCAGACAACAAGGTTTGTTTAAACTGCAAGGTCGGCAGTTCAAGCTCACCAGCTGCTCCATGGAAACCCTATACAGGATTGCTGTAAGTCAGAAATGACTCAACGGCACTCAATACCAACAGCAATGTAGGCGGTTTCCAGTTTCTCCATACCCTCGCCAGCTTTTATTTTCTTTCTTTGTTTTTTTGGTGTTTTTTGGTGTTGGTTTTTTAAATTTTGCTGTTAATGCTGAGGTGAGCTAATGTCTCATTGTTGTTTTGATTTGCATCTCTCTAACAACTCCAAGGCACATAACAACAACAACAACAATGTCTAATGAAGAAGCTCTGGTAGTGAAGGGGTTACGAATTGGGCTGCGAACCGCAAGGTCATTAGTTCAAAACTACCAGCTGTTCCGTGGGAGAAAGATGAGGCTTTCTGCTCCCGTAAAGATTTACAGTCTTGGAAACCCTGTTCAGGGTCCCTATGAGTCGGTTCCAACTCCACGGCACATAACGACCACCACCAATGGCTAATGATGGGAACATTTTTCTTACTGCCCAGATTTGTTAATGAGGATACCAGAGAGGCTAAGTAACTTGCCCAAGATTACCCAGCTAGTAAGTAGTGGAGCTGGAATTCAAATCCCCTAGAAAAACAAGGCACGTTTTCCCCAAAGATTTGAAGTAACAAATCTATGTGTTATTATATGCAGACACGGATATTATATGGAGTAGAATACACATTGGCTGTAAAATGAAAAAATAAAACCTGAGACTTCAAAGAAATTTCCCGCAGAGAACTGAGTTCGCCCCAGAACGTTGGGGTTGCTCCCTAAATAGGATGCTTTGCTTAACTTAGCCTGAATGTAATCTCCTCAGTAACCATGTGCGAACCCTCCCTCCCACCCCACCCCCCGCCCCGTTACAGGAAATTGACGCCCCATGAGCATATAAACGATTTCCTGGGAATTACTTACGCAGGGTAGCGGTCAAGTCGGGATTCGAACTAATGTCAGGCTGGGCAGAACCTTACGATGTTTGTGATCCGGGACATAAAAGGTGGAACTCTTGTGAATCTTTCTACTCCCGTAAAGATTTACACCCTCGGAAACCCTGTACAGGGTCGCTATGGGTCGGACCCGACTCAATGGCACTTAACAACAACAACAACAACTTGTGAATCTTGGGGAGAGACTGGCGGTCCGAACCGCGGTCTTGCTTGTGCGGGTCGCTGGCGCCACCTAGTGATCGCTTGGGAACAGCAGTCCTTGTGCCACTCACAGGCGTCTCCTAGAGACGCTCTCAGGGGTCTCCAAGTGACCCGCATCCTTACACCAGAAAGGATAATACGCTCTCCTGCCAACTACCCAAAAGGAAATCCAGAGTTGGTCCTTCTTTTAAAAACAGTATGGTGAGAGGTTTTGTTGTTGTCAGTTGTCCCCAGTGGCTGACTCCTGGCGACTTTACTAATCTAATCTGTACAATAGAAGGAAACGTTCCAACGCCTGCTGCATAGTTCTGATCCTTACTATGTATGAGAGTATTGCTGTAACTATTGGTCGATCCATCTCATTGAGGGTTTCCTTTGTTTTCATTGACCCTCTATCAACCATGATGTCCTTTTCTCTTTACTGGTCTTTCTTGATTAAAAGACTATAAATCTTCACAGGATTTGAACCACCGACCTTGCATAGCAGCCCATAGCAGTTAGCCTAATCTACAGTGCCCCCAGAACTCCTTATTCTTCAGTCAGTACAAGTTTATCCACTAGTCTTCATCATCACCAAAAGTCAAACGTCAGTCCTTCTTATCTTCCTTTACCACTGTCGAGCTTTTGTGAGCATATGAGGCAAAAGGCAATTTCTCCCCATGCATATACCACTGATCCAGTACTATCTCTTGAAAAGACCACCCTTTCCCATCATTGCCCTATAAGTACCACCTTTGTCACAAGTGTTTGCACTGAACCACAAGGTGGGTTTGAACTTTAAGGTTGGCTAGTGGTTACGAATCGGGCTATGAACCATAAGGTCAGCAGTTAGAAACTACTAGCTGCTCTGTGGGAGAAAGATGAGGCTTTCTGCTCCCGTAAAGGAGCTCTGGTAGCATAGTGGTTACGAATCGGGCTGCGAACCTTAAGGTCAGTGGTTCGAAACTATCAGCCACTCCGCGGCAGAAAGATGAGGCTTTCTACTCCCATAAAAATTTACACCTTCGGAAACCCTATACAGGGTCACTATGGGTCGGAACCGACTCGACGGCACTTAACAACAACAACAAAAGATTTACAGCCTCAGAAACCCTGTACAGAGTCACTATGTGTCAGAACCGACTCCACGCACATAACAACACCATTTAAATTCACCAGTAGCTCCTTGGAAAGCCTGTACAGAGTGGCTGTGAATCGGAACCGACTCGGCTGCATTTAGCAACAACAAATCCTGTCCCACCATCTGTCTGTCCTTGTACCAATATTCCAATGTTCTAATTCCTGCAGCTTTATGTAAGGACTTGATGGCTAGTTGTGTATGCCCCATACCTTTGGTCTTCATCTTCAAGAAGGCCTTGGATATAGCATTCCATATGAATTTTAGAGTCACAGAATCAATTTTATAAATAGCAAAGCAAAAACAAATAACTTCAGGATTTTTATTCCATTGGTGAGAGACCATACGTCTTTTCAATACTGAGTCTTCCATAAACATTTACTTTAATTTTTCTCAAGGATGTTTTGTAGTTTACTGTGTGAAGATTTTTGCACATCTTTCCTTAGACTTGCATTTTTAGTTTTGTGCTTTCCGTGTGTTGGTTGGTTATATAGAAAAGTAACGCGCTTTTTGGATCTCAACCTTGTATACAGTGGCCTTGCTGAATTTTTTTGGATTTTTTACAGTCATAATCATGTCATCTGCAAATACTGATAGTTTTGTGTCTTCCTTTCTGCATTAGTTCCCTAGGGTTCTCATAACAGATTACCACAATTCAGGTAGCACAGAACTTTCACAGTTCTGGAGGCTAAAGGTCTGAAATCAAGGTGTAGACAAAGCCATGGCCTCTTCAGAGATTCAAGTGGTTCCTGGCCACCCTTGATGTCCCTGGGCTTGTAGATGCGTCACGCACCTTCATCTTCACATGACTATCTTCCTCTTGGCTGTCTCTCTGTGTATGCCTGTCAATCTCCATCTCCTTACAAAAGCACCAGTAACTGAATTTAGCCTATGGTACCATAGTGGTTATAAGTTGGGCTGCTAACCGCTAAGTCAGCAGTTCAAAATTACCAGCTGCTTCGCCAGGGAAAGATGAGGCTTTCTGCTCCCATAAAGATTTACAGCCTTGGAAACCCTGTACAGGGTCGCTATGAGTCAGAACTGACTCCACAGCACATAGCCACCACCAATCCAGTGTGGCCTCATCAAAATTTGATTATATTTGCGAAGATCCTATTTCTAAATATGATCACTTTTAATAGATACCTATCTTTTTTCAGCGTAATTCGATGTGTCCTATTCTGTCCCTGGGGTCCAGCACACTGAATGTGACAAACTCATCTTTGCTGAATTAGAATCAGGGGGCCCAGAGTACAACGTAGCTACCATCAGTCAGGGTGGATTTATAAAATAGCGATGTATTACCACATAGTAAGCCATCATTCAGAAACCACAAGGCCAGTGCGTTGAGAGTCTAAGACACTGGCCTCGCTCTCAGTAGACAATGAAAGAATGAACCTACAGATCGGCAGGTGGATGCTGCAAAAACTCAGAGAAGGAACTGGCTGTAAAGGCTTCCTCAAAGAGGCAGCTGAGCTGCTCCTAGAAGACCACACAGTCTGGAGAGCAGGTAGAAAGGGGCGGGACAGACACAAGCCAAGTGAGAGGCACCATAGTGGAGTAGGTAAGCACACAGACTCTGGAGTACTTACTCATGAGTGACTTCAGGCAAATTATTTGACCTCTCTGTGCCTCCATTTCCTCATCCATAAACTAAGCTGCTTCTTTTTGGGTTTATTGTGAGGACTAAATCAGTACCTAGGCGTAAAACACTTTCAGCAAGGTGAGTTTTATGTTCACAACAGGGTGGTTGATATTAAGTAAAGGCAGTGGGAAGGGCTCAGTATAGTTATTCAGGGGACGGGGTAGGAGGTCCGCTGAGGAGCCCCATCTGGCAGGAGTTGTTGTTGGTTGTTGTTGTCAGGTGCCATCAAGTTGGAACCGACTCATAGCGACCCCATGCACAGCACAACGAAACAATGTCCGATCCTGGGCCAACCTCACTACCGCTGCCACACTTGACGCCATCAATGATGCCACCTGGCCGATCCATCTTGTTAGGGGTCTTCCTCTTTTTCTCTGACCCTCCATCTTACCCAACATGACATCCTTCTCCAGCGACTGTTCCCTCCTGACAATATGTCCAAAGTATGAGAGACGAAGCTTAGCCATCGTGGCCTCCAAGGAGCACTCTGGCTGCACTTCTTCCAAAACAGATCTATTGGTTCTTTTAGCAGTCCATGGCACTTTCAGTATTCTCCTCCAACACCACAACTCAAAGGCATCAATTCTTCTACGATCTTCCTTATTCACTGTCCAGCTTTCGCATCCATATGAGGTTATTGAAAATACCATGGCTTGGGTCAGGCGCACCTTAGTCCTCAAGCTGACATCTCTGCTCTTCAACACTTAAAAAAGTTCCTGTGCAGCAGATTTGCCCAATGCTTCCACGAGTGCTGATAGTTGATCCAAGAAGAATGAAGGTACCATGGATCTCAACAGGCAGTCTCAGGTGATGAGCAGAGGAGTGGCACCTCTAGGTGATCGTTTGTCCTCTGGGGACCACCACTATGCCCCACAGGGCCTCACACTATTTCTTGGCTCCCAATAAGGGGGCTTCTCTGGGACCCCACCTGAAGCCTGAGTCTCCAACTGGGCTTTCTGCTGCTCTGGCCTTCCCAAGCAGTGGCTGAGAGTTTGGGTTTGGTTCAGCCGGGCCGCTGGACTAAATCCTTGCCGGGGTTCTGGCTTTTTCTCCCCAGAATTAATCATCACTGCCGGTGGGGAGAACGTCCCCCCTGTGCCCATTGAAGAGGCTGTTAAGATGGAGCTGCCCATCATCAGTAATGCCATGCTGATTGGGGACCAGCAGAAGTTTCTGTCCATGCTGCTCACCTTGAAGGTGTGTGTATGGGGGGGGGGTGGTCTCTGACCCAGGAGGGGCAGCCAGTGATGGTCTGTGGATCTAGCATAAGCCACATTCGGCCTAGGCCACATCTGAATCCCACGGCTCCAGTCAGGAATCACTGCAGAGTCAGCACTGCCTACACTGAGGGGGAGCTACAGCCCATGGAAGTTCCGTATGTCCCCAGAGCACAGTTAATACACTGCTGTGATCTTTTACATGGACCAGTATGTTCCGGTTTACAAAGTGCGGCTGCCCTCATTCTCAGCAGATCATCTCTCAGGGCTTAAGATGGGTCAGGAGTTACTGTCCCTGTTTTATAAACGATGACCTCACTGGCTGAGGTCTTCAAGTTCTCCTTACATTACACCATGGGATTCAACAGTCAGGATAGCATCTTACTCATTCTAGAACTATCTCTCTGAATCAGAGCTCACAGTGATTCCTATCCTTGCCATCAGCAGTAAGATCTCTTTTGAAGACCAGGGCTTGGGTCTTTGGATTGGGGCTTGGTTCTGACTGATCTCTGGCTTTCCAGTGCACTTTGGACCCAGACACCTCTGATCCAACAGACAGCCTGACCGAACAAGCTGTGGAGTTCTGCCAGAGGGTGGGCAGCAAAGCCACCACAGTGTCTGACATCGTGGGGAAGAAGGATGCAGCTGTGTATCAGGCCATTGAAGAGGGAATCCAGAGGGTCAACCAGAAGGCAGCTGCCCGACCCTACCACATCCAGAAGTGGGCCATTCTCGAAAGGGATTTCTCCATTTCAGGTGGAGAATTCAGTAGGTGTTTCCTTTTTACTATATCAAGACCTAGGAGTGTCTGATGGTGGTGGTAGTTATGTGCCATGGAGTCGGTTTCCAAGGCTGTAAATCTTCACGGGAACAGAAAGCCTCATTTTTCTCCCATGGAACAGCTGGTAGTTTCAAACCACTGACCGTGAGATTAGCAGCCCGATTTGTAACCACTACGATTTGGTTTATTGTTGTTAAGTGCCATTGAGTCGGTTCCAACCCATAGTGACCCTGAACAGGGTTTGAGGCTGTAAATCTTTACAGGAGCAGAAAGCATCTTTCTCCTGCGGAACAGCTGGTAGTTTGGAACTGCTGACTTTGAGGTTCACAGCCTGATTCTTAACCACTACGCAGGTGTCCATTAAATGAGGAAGCCACAGCAAGGTCACTGTCAGCATTTTGTACAAGGCTTTGTGACTGTGTAGCACCTGTTGATTATATGAGCTACGTGGTGGTCCAAATTAATTATGGCCATGCCACTCTCTCTCTGAAATCAGAAGCATCAAGACCCCACTACTGTCTGGGCTGGAGTCACGTGTCTCTAATGAGATGCTGTGGCATTCGGTAGAGTCAGCTCATGTGACAGGAAATGAAGCCACTCGCTACAGAGAACCAGGCATGCTTTCAGGGGCCTCGGGTGCAGCCTGAGCTGGAAGGAAGAGATCGCTCTTGGCTATAGCATCTAGAGGTGACAGGTAGCATCGCCACTGAGATTCCCACAAGTCCATCAAGGTTAACCCCAGGTGCAGCTCTCCACAGCAATGCTGACAGGTAGTTGTTGAGCACACCTGGTTGACTGATATGATAGATGTCCTAGTAGTTTATATACATGACTTTGATTGTTACATTTTCAGTTAAACTGACAAATGTGAGGAAACAGGCTACCCCGACCTTCAAATCAGAACCCTTTCAACCTTGCTTTACAACAGGGTGCCAAGGCAAAGAAAATGATTAGGAGAGGAACATGGCAGGACCCCTCCCTCGATTGGGCTTGTCATCTGTCCCATCAGTCAGCAGAATCATAACTGACATCTACATGAACTTCCACTGAAAAGTAGATGATTTGTGTATCAGTTATCTATTGCTGTGTAACAAATTACCCTTTAAAACGTAGCAGCCTAAATTAACACAACCAACATTTTTTATCTGTCTGTGGCCAGGAACCCAGTTAGCTGAGTGGTTCTGGTTGAGGGTCTTTATGAGGTTACAGTGAAGGTACCATCTGGGCCTGGGGGGCTTCTGCTTCCAACCTCACACAGGTGGTTCTCGTCAGGCCTCTTGTTCCTTACTGGCTACTCACTAGGTATTTCAGTTCTTTGCCAGTGGCCCACCCCATAGGCTGCCTATGTGTTATAACAGTATGGCAGCTGGTTTGCCCAGTGATCCGAGAGAGGAATCCAAGACAGAAACTGCAGCCTTCTATACCCTGGTCTCAGAAGTGTTATCATCACTTCATCCATGTTCAATTGGTCACAGACTAATCCCTTGTATAACGTAGGGCGAGAGGTATACAAGTTATGGGTACCAGAGCAGGGGTCACTGCAGGCATTTGGAGGTTGGTTACCAGTTTGTCTGGCTTAATTCCAGTTACAGGATTCGTTTGGTTTAGATCTTCCCACTCAACAGCTCAGATTTCTGAGCTCAAGCCTCACTTGTTTTTTTCTCTTTTAGGTCCCACAATGAAATTGAAACGGCTCACAGTTCTGGAGAAGTACAAAGATATCATTGGTTCCTTTTACCAAGAACAGAAAAAGTAATCAGGGACTGCCCTTCCAGCTTGTTAAATAGATAACAGGCTTTTGTGAGCAGTTTTCCAGGTTCTCTGGGCACGCAAACTCCGGATGAGGGAGGTATGGCTCTGACATTTCTATTTGCCAAGTCTTATGCCAACAATAGCTGAGAATGCCGAAAACAACATGGATGGATAGTTTTAATTTTCTGTAAGGAATGCTTTTGTTTCAGTGACAAATGAAAATCAGCCCTCCTCCAGGACTGAAGGGCTGATTATTTTGGGCCTTAGTTCCAGGTAGATTTAACAAGCAACCAGCCCACGTAACAGGCCAGCTAGGGTGGGCTGTGTGTGAGGGAGGGGAGGTGGTTTGTCTTTCTAGTGTGTGATGAGAGGAACTCACCTAACAGCCTGACTTAATTGGGAGCTTCCTGGTTAACGCCAACCATATCATCCCATCACCAGGCTCCCCTCAGCCACGCACACACCAACCAACAGGATGCTTAATAAAACTGCTGAAGTCGATTTGATGTGTGATTTGAGTATTAAAACTTTTTAACAGACCTGTCAGCAAGTACCTCAACTGTCAATTGAACAGGCATGATCCACGTAGAGATGAGAGGATTAAATAGAACAGGACTGTGTACAATAGAAGGAGCTCTGGTAGTACAGTGAATCAAGCATCAGGCTGCTAACTGCATGGCTGGCAGTTCAAATCCACTAGTTGCTTTGCAGAACAATGAGGTTGTCTGCTCCCGGAAAGACGTATAGTGTCAGAAACCCTAAGGAGCAGTTCCCCTTTCTCCTACAGGGCCATTATGGGTCAGTTTCGACGCAATAGCAGTGGGTGAATGTACACAGGACCAAGAGTCACCATTAGTGCCCTGGAAGGAGCAAAGGTGAGGGCAGAGGGTCAGCAAAACACCCTAGTAAAAGCAGCCAGCCTGCCCGCCTCCCACTCAGCATACTTCAAGCAGCCCCTCAGAAGCAGCAAAGCCAAAATGCCGTAAGGCACTTGAATGAGAACCAGGCAGAGAGCTTACATCTCAATCCGTTTTGGAATTCTTTTATTATTACGAACCAAGAGCCACTGATTATTAGCACAGCCCAATAAGAGACCAAGCAGCAGCTTAAACAAAGTAAAATACATATAAGATGATGAGACTCGCCACAAGCCTGAAAAAGGACCAGACAGAGATACTTTGTTAAGAAATTCTTTTGTCACCTGGGTCCATGAGGTAAAGCTGCGGGTTTGCAATGCTACACAGGGCCACGGAAAGATGTGTTGCCTTTGGTGAAGGGTCAGAAGGCAATTGTTTATGAAAACAGTGGCTTTACGTCTGAAGTTTAATAAAAATCATAGTCAAGAACATGGCAATGCGGGAAAGAAGGTGCCTGAAGGTGAAGAGCTGAGGCCACCTCCTGTGTGGGCACAATTTTGTGACTCAACTCAGTCTGAGTCTGCATCTGTCCCTACAATCTCATCTCTGACTGGTGGAGCTGAGGCAGCAGACAGTGGTTTGGTGTTGGGGGAGGGCGAAGGACCAGCTGTCGATATAACATAAGAGGCACCAGCCTACATTTCTCAAATGCAGCCAGAATCGGTGTGCTCAGGCCCTTCAGCAGTATCCGCTGGAGTGTGGCTGTTTTCAGATGATTACACGCACACTTCACAAGAGCACACAAAGACTTGAGGTCATCTCCACGACCCAAGTCAGGATTTAGCACGGCGGCGCCAAGGCTGTGGTACTCAGGATGCTCTCAGTACATATCGAGTAAGAAGGAAGTACTCTCACTCCTCTTTGCTTTCCTGGAGACTCTCACAAACAACAGCAAATTGCAAGGTAACAAAAGAACTGAACACACAATGCATGTGTGTGCTTGCACCTAATATACAACCTACATCTTATTAACAAAAATTACATCTCTCATTATATAGTTCTTGGATCTGAAGTTTTTATTCATACACAGTTATTCATAGAAAGGACAAATCTAGCTTTCTTTTTCATGTCCCTTAGAAATAGACCAGATTTACTGTGGTTTTTTTTTTAGGTGAACTTTCCCAACAAACGTCTCTTGTGCCCATTTCATTTTATAAGAATATCATCTTGTGCTATAATATCAATATCCTGTTTTATTTCCATTATATTTTTCATAAACAACAACAAAAAACCCCCCAGAGGTTTCTTTATAAAGTTAGATGTTTTCTCTTATTAATTCTGTATCATATTTACAACAGAGGGGGGAAAAAACCTATTTTAACTGAAGTGTAAAATGGTTAACAATAGCAGATGATACAATCCCCTTAGAGTTTACAAAAACTGTTAACCAGATAGCATTTAATAAATAAAACAGCACTTGGAAACAGTCCTTTGAAAGCAGGCCTTAGGGAGGAGCACCTGCCTCTTTTGTACAGACTTTTGTTAAGAAGCCAGATCCAAAAATGTACTCCTGTCAAGAGACAAGCAGACCCAGTGCGTAGATATGGTTAAGTTTTCTAAATAAAGATGTGCGCGGTATCCATTCGGAGTGACTGGTGCCAATACCACCGGTAGGAGCATTAATCTAAATCTTTGACTCGGCGACAGATCTCCTCAGTGAAGTCAGAGCACTTGGCATTGCCTCCCAGATCTTTTGTTAAACTCTGAGAAAAGGAAAAAAAGCTGAGATCAAAATGTGTATCCGCACTAAAACACACTGCAGGGATCTGTATTCACAGTCCTCAGTGAAACGCGAGGTGAGCAAGTTACGTGGGTGTTTTCATTGTGTTCCTCATTGCAAAGGCAGGCCCTACCCCACCACCAGGACACCCCCAGGACAGCTTCAGAACAAAAGAACAACATAAAACCCTATGTGTTCTCCAGTGGGACCATCCGGCTACTGAACACAGGTTTGCATGTCTTATATTCCGGCCTTAAGAAGTCATTTCAAACTACAGAACTTCAATTCTTTGAAGACGAAACCTTACACCAGGGGAATCTTTTTTCTGCCAAAATTTATAACATCATTCGCCGGCTCTGCAAAATTATCAATGTAAAAATTAGCCTGTTATATCTGCTGAAACATTTAATTAATGCACCCCTAATGTGATGGCTGGAACTGTGGCTGTGAGGGCCTTAAACAACCCGTGGGCTGGAAGTTCCCTACACACGTCTTAGACTAAGGCCTGACCTGGATAACAATGATCCTCTTCTGTGGGCCACAGCTGCTGTGCAAGAGCTGGACCGGATATGAACCCCAGCTAGACTACTTAGGAGGATATGATATCTGATACAAGTTACTGAATCTTTCTCTGCCTGTTTCCACATTTACATGAAAATGTGATTACTTATAGTATCTATTTTGAATAACTGAGATTTGCTGAGATGATATATATATATATACATATATATATATATATATACACACACACACACACACACATATACATAGGTGTTTAGTGCTGTCGAGTTGGTTCCAACTTATAGTCACCCTGTATAGGGTTTCTAAGTAGAAGCTGGTGGATTTGAACTGTCAACCTTGCAGTTCAAACCAACCTTGAGGTCCAGTACTTATTCCATAGTGCTATACCAGGGCTCCATATAAAAAGTTCTTATCAATCATTTGGTCTGGCCCTGCCAAGGTAACCACAGTTCCAGTCACCACATTGTTGTTGTTGTTGTCAAATCAGTTCTGACCCACAGCGACCCTGTATATGGTTTCCAAGAAGCAGCTGGTAAACTTGAACCACTGACTTTGCAGTACAATAAATTAACACAGAGCACCACATCAGGACTCCAGCCATCACATCAGGGGTGAGTTAATTAAATATCTGAGTAAATATAAGAGACTAATTTTTAAACTGACAATTAAAAAATGATTTATGTAAATGCACTTTCCATTCCACCTCATAGTGATCCTAAATTGAGTTTCCGAGGCTGTAAATCTTTACGGGCACAGCCAGCCTCAACACTCTCCCAGAGTGGCTAGGTGGTGGGTTTGAACTGCTGGCCTTACGGTTAGCAATCCAACACCTGACTCCGACTCTCATACGGCTATTGTCTCTACTTGACACTGATGCTCCTAGGTCAGTGCTTCTTAACCTTCTTTTGATGAACGATCCAGATGTTCTCCCAGAAAAGGTACATACACCCTGAAGTTTAATCCGGAAGGCCACATCAAGAAGCCTTGCTCTGCACCAAATCCCTCCGACCTTTTGAGAACTTTCCTCTTCACACAGGTAACACCCACAGGAGAACTACACTTTCCCGGCACACGCCATTCAAGGTCACTGGTACCTTTCCGTCTTTAATTGTGGCAAAACACGCAGTCTCGATCTTTGCAGCTTGGTCAAAAAGCCCCATGTGGCGCAGCATCATCACAGCGCTGAGCAGGAGGGCAGTGGGGTTGGCCATGTCCTTGCCAGCGATATCTGGGGCAGTCCCATGAACCTATGCAACAGGGAAAGTCCCAGAATTGTCAGGGAGGCCCAAACCAAACAGCCCTCCTCTGGGAACGCTGGGGGCTTACCCCTCTTTCCTCACCAATAGAAGGTTTTTACTATAAGCAGCTTCTATGTGCATCTATCAGACACAGAGCTTAGATATAAAAACTCAAATACTTGGGGGGCTTCAGAAAGTTCGTGGAAAGGTAGAGTGAAAAGATAATGGGATTTTCTCATGAACTTTTATGAAGTTTCCTCATAAAAAGCTTAATTTTAAAAACATTTTTCTTTTAAGTAGAATAAAGGACTAATCGATTTTCTGTAAAATAGTATTTTGCAACGTGAGGGAACATATGTAATAAAAACATCCAGGGAGAATGAATGAACAAACCAAGCTTATATGGAAAACACAAAGCATCATTTCCTTTAGGCAACTTAAAAACCGCCAAAGTTACAAAATATTTGCGCAGTTAGAACCACCCCCCTGCAGCTGCTCTGACCAGAACCCTGCTTCCGGTGCCAGGGCCTTACCGACTCGAAGATTGCAACTCCATTGGCTCCAATGTTGCCACTTGGTGTCACACCAAGACCTCCAATCAACCCTGCACACAGGTCACTGGAAGCAAGAAAGCATTTGAAAAATTATTTTGAAAAAGAAAGCACCTTATTTATCTAGCAGGCCACATTGTGGTCTGGAAACCCTATTCTTCACTAAGCAGAACCAGGGCTCCTGCAAAAATAGCTGAGTCCAGGGCTAGAGGTGAGAAAATCACAACGAGCCTGGAATATTCCTTGTTGTGCCCCAAAGAATGACCGCGGCTTCAAAAGCACAAGAATAGACAACCTGAAGGGCCTCCCACTGGCCAAACTGGGGACAACTGGAGCAAAGACTAAGTAATGATCTAACCACTGAATAAAACGGAAAACCATTCCTCCACGGTGACAGACAGACACCTCCTCCACGGTAACAGACAAACAAAGGAGGAGGAAAAGCTTTTCCCTAAGAATGTCAACACACAAATGTAAAACAAGGGCGCGACTGTCCAACATCCTATGTGTGTTGCAGCATCACTCCTGCCACAGTCTAGTCCTTAGAACAAGTCACTACGCACAGCCCACTTTCCAGGGGAGGGTATTAAACTCTGCCACCAGAGAGGACTAGGAAAGAATTTGTAGACATATATTTAAGCCACCACTGTGTGTGAGTGTGTATGTGTTTTCAGCAAAAGGAGGAAGGAAACGAAGGAAAAAAAGAGATGAAGGGATGGAGGAAGGAATAATAAAGTAAAAATTTAGCATCAGGGAATGTGGGTGCCACATATGCCAGAGTTCTGCGTGCCATTCTTTAATTTTTTCTGTATGCCTAAAATTATGTCAAAAAGTTTTAAAAATGTTTAATGACTACTGTTGTTGTTAGGTGCCATCGAGCTGGTACAGACTCACAGCGACCCTCTGCACAACAGAACAAAACACTGCCCAGTCCTGGGCCAACCTCACAACTGTTGCCACACTTAAGCCCACTGATGCAGCCACTTTGCCAATCCACCTCGCTGGGCAGGGGCCTTCCTCTTTCTCTCTGACCCTCCACCTTACCAAACATGACTGGTCCCTCCTGGCAACATGTCCAAAGTATAACTACTAATTATACAAAATAAAAGACGGAAATCACTCAGTCAAAATGAGAAGAATGAACGAATAACTGAGGGCAACCGCGGAGCTGAGCTGATCCACAAGTGAAGGAACTAGCCCCCCAACACTGCATCACTGAGATGACTTCTGACACACAACGCACCTTCCTACAAATGCCACACTACATTAGATTGGATTCAGTTTTAAGTCATAATATACTTAAGGGCATTTACAAATCAAAAGACTAACCACCAAACCCATTGTGACTATACAGATTCTAGTTCCTAATAGCAAACCCTACAGAACAGAGTAGAACTGTGTCCTAGAGACTCCAAGGCTGTAAATCTCTACAGAAGCAGACTGCCACATCTTTCTCCCATGGAGCGGCTGGTGGATTCGAACCACAGACCTTTCAGCTAGCAGCCCCGTGCTTAACCACTACACAGCCAGAGGTTCTCATATAAATAAAAAAGAAAGCACATGCAGCCCGACTCACCTAAGGATGTCGCCATATAAATTTGGCATAACAAGAACATCAAACTGGGATGGATCTTGTACCATCTAAAAGGAAAGCATTTGTGCATTTAGCAACTGAAAACCACACACCACACATACACACATACACACACATGCTGAATACCACAAAAAATTACATATACTTACATTCAAACATACTGTATCAAGGTACATCTCATTAAATTTAATATCTTTACAGTTTTCTGCCACTTCCCTGCATTTTTGCAGAAAAAGCCCATCTGACATTCGCCTGTATTTAACCAAATAAAAATTGTTGAAAGCACAGATTTGCGGGGGGGTGGGGGTGGGGGGAAGGATCAAGTCAAAGAAGCAAATTAGATCAGGAAACTGAAGTTCTAGAAGGCAGATGTATGATTTCAAACACAGTACGACTAGTTTTAGGCAGTTAGTAAAATATAAGTTGAAAATACCCTGGCAGCACAAAAGAGAAAAAAAAAAAGGTAAACTAGCCCAACCATACTAGAGGAGAGTGGATCTGTAGAGTGTTAGCCAGGAAAAACTAAGAAGTAGCCATTATTACAAAAATATTAAACTTGTTTTGGAATGTTAACTTATTCATTATTTACATGGTTTAAATATTTTTCATGCTCAACACTTCTTAGCTTAAGAAACCTTGCTACAGTCAGACATGGTCTTTCGTGGACTGGGGTGAAGGAAGTTTAAACTGCTCAAATACTGCATCAGCTAGTGTTAGCGCTGTTAGCAGTGACTGTTTGAAGCCCCTAAACAGATGGCAAGCTTCAGAAACACTCCCATGATTCTAGTTCTAACACAAATGGCCCTGCCCTGTAGTCTCTGTGGCCTTTGCTCTACTGGCCACAGCATCTGGGGATCCAGAGACTCCGGCTTCCTTTTCTAATAACCCTCAGTCCCTCCTCCTTCCAGGTTTAGGATCTGTATTCCTGTCCCCTCTAAAGTGAGGCACATCCGGTAGGAGACCACAACCTACAACCAGAGAAGAGAAGAGACTACTTGATCCTCTGATTAGTTACAAAGTTATTTTTCAGAGACGACAGAAATCAATGAGCAAACTGGAGTGCCCTGTCACTGTGCTCCCCCACAAAGTGCGACAGTGTGCGGACCCCACAGGGACTCACATGATGTTGGCTTTGTGGACAGCCGTGACGTTGCTCCGGTGATTGTTCCGGGCATACTCGAAGGCAAACTCAGCAATGCGCTTGCTCGCCTGCTCGGTGATGAGCTTGATACTCTGCACAACCCCATCGACGATCTGAAAGAGGAACCACAACCACACAGCTAGCGGTGTGCGGACAACATGGTCCCGGGCATGTTTGTACTGCACCAACTACCATAGCAGCACCATGGATACGGCATCTCAATGTCACCATAGCCCTGTGAGGCAGTATGGTAACCCCCACTGCACAGGCAAGTGAAGACCACTTGCTGAAGAAGTGGGCAGAATTCAGGCTTCAAGCCCTGAGGCTCCTGCTATCCACTGGAGCATGGTCAGCCAGAGAGCAGTGCCAACACACATCCGCATCTCCTCCCAGAAGGAACACTGGGGCTCGCTTAGGGAGACCCTGGCAACTGGAAATGTGTACAACTGTCCCAGACACACAGAAATCAACCCAATTAAGGATTTTCAAAAAGTCTCTGAAGTGAACTTACCACATGCTCAATGCCACTGTATTCTCCTTCTGTGTTCTCACGAATGGTGACAATATTTACATCGGTGTAAGGGGTTTTATAGCCTTCGATTGAGACGCATGGCCGGACATTGGCATAAAGGTCAAATGTTTTACGCAGCAATAAATTCATAGACGGGTGACCAGCAGCTATTGGGGTCTTTAAAGGGCCTGTAATGAAGCAGAAAATCTGGATGACAAGATTCTAATCAACTCAAGAGTAGGATACATTGTGGTCTAACACATCCTTTACTAAGCCACCTGGGCTAGCTTTGTAATATGTGTTCTCCCTCTAACTTCACCCTCTTCCCTTAGATTCAATGAAGAACATTGTCTTTTTATGGATGCTTTCTGAAGATTTACCGCATTTCTTCTTAGTAATCTTTGGCACCTAGTGAGGACATTTTCTAATCCTCACCACCATTCTACTTCGTGGCGCAGACAGTGAAACCTGAGGGCCCGGACTTGACAGGACTGCCTGTTGGTCTGGGTCCCGCAAGGTTTCCACCTTTGACAGGGTGCAGTCTGCATTGCTCTCTATGCTTGGTAAAGTGGATAGTCAGTGAAAAAGAGGAAGACTCCCAGTGACTGGCACAGTGGCAGCAGCAATGGGCTCAAGTGTAACGACTGGAGGACCGGTCAGTGTTTCGTCCTGTTGTGAGTTGGAAGTGACTCAATGACACTTAACATCATGGCTCCGCATTAGTAAAAAATATTTTCGTCTTCCTTCTCTGACAGGATTCCACCTTCCAGTGGTTCTGGTTTTTGCAGGGTTTACCACACTACTGGAGTCCTGGTGTGGCGCTGTAGGACAAACACTTGACCGTAAAGTCTGTCTGAACTCACCAAGTCGCTGCTCGGAAACCCTTCATAGGGTCGTTATGGATCAGAACCGACTCGACGGCACTTAACAACAACTGACTATTACTATCACTTAGACAGAAAAAGAGGGGAACAAATGAGAATTAGCAATTTGACTCAACCTTCCAGGCAGTCAGTGGCAGGGGTTGGACTGAGAGCTAGATCTGTCTGGTTTAAAGTCTTTGCTGAATGTGCAACTCTTACATGCTAACATCTTGAATCTTGGCTTTTTAAAAAGCAGTCATTAAGATAATTTTTTATATGTGAAAATTAAGCAAAACACAAATCGAGTCAAGGATAAATATGTATGGTCTGGGATATTGGTCAGCAATACTTTGGAGTCCTGGTATAGGATAAACACTGGACCACAAAGTCAGTTTGTCACTTTGACTCGGAACCAACTAGATGGCACTTAACAACAACTAAGTAATACATTACATTTTTAACAGGGATGCTGGGGAAGAAGAATGCTACCGAAAGACATACAAAGCTCATCACAGAGCAAATTGCTTCTTAACAGGATGGTTTTACTTTAGTAGAGACAGTCAAGCCTTACTGAGCTTAATGAAATGCAGTAAGCATCTCATCTGCTTCATTGCTACCTTTCAAGCCCATCTTGTTCTTATCCATTGACTCTTTGGCTTCTGGAGGGATCATCCACTTTCCTCCGGGTCCTTGGATGGCAGTGACATTCCGTTCCTCCCACTGAATAGGTGCCTAGAGACCACACACACAGTACAAGTGAAGAGTCACACTACAATTATAAACACTTCATCTGGGATTGCAACTAGCAAACACATGGACAACTGACATCCAGAAGATTGCTGGCACACGAGAAGACACAAAGAGATGTCATTCTCCAGTGTGCCCAGGGGGCTTCTCAATATTCTCCTCACCCAGTCATCCACTCCCAGCTGCTATCAGCCCACCTGTTTTGTTTTTTCACAAGGACTCTGAGGGTGGTTATAATTAGAATAGCATAAGAGCAGAGAACCATGTTTGCAGAAATGCCACATGCTACAACGTGGATGAACCCTGAAAACATTATGCCAACTATAGGAAGCCATGAAACACTACCTATTTTAAGACTCCACTGATGGGAATGGCCAGAGCAGGCAAATTCAGAGCCGACAGACAGAAGATTAATGCTTGTCTAGGATGGGGAAAAGGAGTTCTGGTAGCGTAGTGGTTAGGAATCAGGCTGCGAACCACAAGGTCAGCAGTTCAAAACTACCAGCTGTTCCACGGGAGATGAGGCTTTCTGATCCCGTAGAGATTTACAGACTCAGAAACCCTGTACAGGGTCGCTATGAGTCAGAACCAACTCCATGGCACATAGCAGGATGGGGAAAGGAGTCCTGGTGTGGCACTGTGGGATAATGCATTGGACCACAAGGTTGGTTTGAATTGTACGGTTGGCGGTTCAAATCCAGCAGCCGCTCTCGGGAAACCCTATACAGGGTTGCTATGAGCCAGAAGCAACTGGACAACACTTAACAACAGGACGGGGGAGTACAGTGCTTCGTCTGTGGTGCACAGGGTCACTATGAGCCGAAGCCAACCCGAAAGCACCTCACAACAAGGATAGGGAAAGGAGACCTGGTGGCACAGTGGTTAAGCACAACTGTTAAGTGGAAAGGTTGGTGGTTCAAATTCACCAGCAGCTCTATGGAAGAAAAGGTCAGGTTAAAAAAAAAGATCTGTTCCCATAAAAATTCAAAGCCGACCAAACCCACAGCCACCCAACCGACTCCAACTGAGAGCAACTGTTCAGGAAAGGGCAGAGGTGCCCACGGGCTCCAAGGCAGCAATCTCTATGGAAGCAGGCTGTCATCCCATCTTCCATGCCCCTGGGGTGGCAGCTGGGGTCAAGCCACCACACCAACCTTGCAGTTAGCAGCTGAGCGTTTAACCACTCAGGTTAAGCTACCAGGGCTCCTTTCTACAAGGATTACAGCCTTGGAAACCCTGTGGGGCAGTTCCACTCTGTCCTATTGGCATCGGAATCAACTCCACGGCACACACAACAGGGCTGGGGAGGGGAGAAGCAGAAGGGGCTCGGGGAGTAGCTGCTAATGGATGTGGGGGTTTCCTTTGGGTGATGAAACATGTTTTAAAATTAGACTGTGGCAATGGTTGCCCAACTCTGGACACACCAAAAACCAATGAACTGAATCGTACACTTTAAATGGGTGAATTATATGGTATACGAACTATATAGCTCAGTAAGGCTGTTAGCAACAACAACAAAACAGTGTATAATCTGTAAAGGCATAAACTCTTCCTACCCACATTCTTTTTCGTGAGTGCATATTTGAGAGCAAGCACACAGGCTAAACGTGTTCTAGGAAGGGGGATAAAGCCCTAACAACTGAGTAACATCAGATTTCAATCCACTTTGGGAATTGGCCACTTTATACACTTTATTTCCTTGGTATAAGTTTTCATTACAAATTCAACTAGAAAAAAATAGTGTACATATAGTTTAAAGAAACTGAGTGCTTTGATTTATATCTGTTGGTTTGACAACAGCCACTGCTTGACCCTTGTACAGTTTACCTGGCAGCAATGATAAAGCATCACGTTGAAGTCCAAGTTTCAAAAATCTCTAAAACAAGTATCTGTACTGAAGGCTGGGCTAGTAGAAATTATACCCCATTCCTGATGATAATACTAACACTGCATCAGAAATTCATTTTTAAAAAATCAAAATCACCTGTATTAATTTTTTGAAACCTCACTTCCATTCTTTCTGGCAAGAAGGTAAAATGGGAGTAAACAGGTCACTTGAAGGGGCTGGAAGACCTTAAGACCTAGGGACACTACAACACTCCTCTGACTACTTCACATAAGCCCATGTCCACGTACCCACTTACCCTGCCAACAGTGAGAACAACAAACTGCAATGAACCCTCTCCTGCTGGGGTCAAGATCTCTGAAGACTAACCACAGACCCTATCAGCTTCAAAGAGGCATGTACAACTCATCTTACAAGTTCACAGAATCCAACTGGCTAAGAAACCTTTTCTATGAATTATTATTAACTACATTAATTTACTATTAATTGCAAAGTAACCCACTTACTTTGGCAGCATCAAAAATCTTCATAACTGCAGCTGAGATTTCTGGGCCAATGCCATCTCCTGGAATTAAAGTTACTGTCTGAACCTGAATATAAGAAATCATCAGAGAAGACAGTAAGAATTCATTTGAGAAGGTTTCAAATAGAGTATCATTGATAAACCCACTTTTGGGACATCTTGTGAGACCCAAGTGCTCTTTGGATCATCAAAGTGGAGGGGAGAAACAGTAGATAATAAATTGCACAGTTCTTCAAACCTGATTTTAAGAGGTTTTAAAAATAACTCAAACAAAGTGCTTTAATACAAAAATAATATAAACGATCAAGTGTTCTGGTGGGTACTATAGGATAAGTACTGAATTGCTAGTCACAAGGTCAGCGGTTCAAACCCACCAGCTGCTTCTTGGAAACCAGATACAGGGTCACTAAGTCACAACTGACTCCACAGCACACCATCACCACCAAGAGACAAATTAATTGAAGCCTGTCGGCGGGTCAAACTTACCAGCAGCTCCTTGGAAACCCTATACAGGGTCCCTGAGAGTTGGAAGCGACTCAACGGCACTTAACAACAAAACCAAAAAACAGCAAAATATTTCAGTAACATTCTCTCGCTAAAATTCCGAGGATTTCTCACAAAGGTAAGCACTTTTCTCTCCACTGTGATTCTGGGGAGTTTAGTTTCTCACACAACTTCAATTTTATAAAACATTTTTCTGTTAAAGCACTCAGAGAAAAATCAGATTTCAGAGCTAAAGAAGGCCTCCATTTTCATTAGTTACCCTAGAAAACTAGACCTTTCCATGTAATCTGAATAATCAGGCTCACCAAATTTTCATTTTCCGCAAAGAATAGCATGTGATCATACCCACGGAGTCTGAATTACACTTAGAATGATAGGAAGTGCATTTATAATGTCACATCAAAGACTTACTCCAATGCCCCCAAAACACAATGAAGCCAGCATTGCAAACGCAGAAGCCAAAATCACATACGGAGAAATAACCTCAGAGGATTTTAACAAGTTAACAGAACATTCAGATCCTCTCTCTCCATTTGGGAACTAAACACTTTATTACTTGGGGGCCTTCCCCTGCCTTTGGGGTATGGCCCAGACAATGGCCCCTGTTTGTTTTCCATTTCCAGTGGCCTGAGCTACTGTTTTGTTTAAAGTCACTGGATGAAATTTCTCTGGATCTTTGCCTTTCAGTGATAACCACCTCTAGGAGGTAAGACTGATTATTTCTGAATTTTTTGGTACAATGGAAGAAAGCATCTTTAAAAGTGGTATCTTTTCTTATTTTTTCCAAATTTAACCCCTTTCATGAGGTTAACATTTTAGAAAGTGGATAGTGTGAATAAACAACAATAGCTCATTCGTTTTCAGAATGTGTTTGAAATGCTAGCTTGGCTATCTTTGAGCTTACAGTACAAGCCTTTCTGGGTCTTTTGCATAAGCAGAGCCAAAGGAACCCTTCAGCTGCTTCTTCCGGTTCTCCCAACATGCAATAATCAACACCATCAAGCCACCAGAGAAATCTATTTTTCTTCTATAGCACAGGAGGCAAACAGGGAAGAATATACTATGGCCTTATAAATGTCTCATAGCAGAAGATGTCATATGGGAGAGTAAAGGAATTACGAATTCCAAACCAGATTCCTTAAGAAGGGGGCAAAGTAAAAAACAAATGGACAATCACTGATCCACAGTCTTAGAATCCTCTAAAAGTGTGGTATCAGCTTTCAAAGCACAGACTAACGCTGGGAATTCTAAAAGCAGCAGATTTAATGAGAAACAGATGATTTGCTAACATGTAATCTATAAAGACTACACAAGGAAAGTGAAAGCAATATAGGGCTTCTGATGTTTATGGTTTTCCTAAAAGGCAATCAATCTACTGTTTTTAGAGAAGCTCACAAAATAAAACTGCAAAGCACATTTCGAAGCTTCTCAACAATTTTCTCTCAACTTGTACTACTTTTGAAGAAAATCATCTTACCGACGAAATGAGACTGTGAAATAAACGGACTTGGGTACTTTCTATCTATTTCTAACAAGGCTTCTTCAAGATACGAATGTGACCAGCACATATAGCCAGCGGGAGCACAATTCTTTTAAATGTACAAGTAGCCTGGTAGATTCATGCATAGATTAGCTATTAATTTTAATATTTGGTAAAAGGATGGCCAATTTTCTCTGGTTTTAAATTAATGGAGGAGGATGCTATAGAATGCTAGCATCATATATAAATAATGCCATACAAATATATTAGAGCATCTTTCTTGAGAAACTTCTAAAAGGAAGAAAATAAAAATGTAAATATACTCACACCACCAGAAAAACCTCTGGTCACCTGTTTTGGGTTGTGGAATGCCCCCAGCAGCCGAGACACCTGTATTAATAGTAACAGAGAAATGTCATGCAGAGTATCACACACATGTAGTAAGAGGTGACAGGGAGGCATTTCTGATGGCTAATACTGCTGCCGGCTGACACAGATCTCTTCAGAAACTCCCAGGAACTCTTCTCATGTGGCAAGCTAGCTCAGATTTGAAAACCTAAATATCCCATTTGCCACTGCTCTGCGGTTTTAAGTACTATATGCTTTTAAGTTAATTTTATGAATAAAAGTTATCAACAGATGTTGAGGGTAAAATGAAGCTGTATCTTGGTAAAGCTCAAGCGCTGGACTTTTCTGATGATCGGGGAGGCTGTATGCCAACATTCTTGAGCACTGGGGTCCGTTGGGAAGAACACATATTCAAAGGAAAATTATCCCTAATGTAGAGCCAGAAGAAGCCTTATAGAACCTAGAGCCCACTCATTTTATAGGTGATTTGCCTGACTTATAACAAGTAAGTAGCTTTGTGTTGCTGCTAAACGCCATTGAGTCAGTTCTGACTCACAGTGACCCTGTATAGGGTTTCTGAGCAGCAGCTGGTAAGTTTGAACTGCCGACCTTGTGGTTCAAACCAAAGTGCTTATGCTATAGCACCACACCAGGACCCCATTAAGCAGCTCGTAGCTGGCAAAATGAACCCAAAATCCATGTCTCCCGACTCCTAATCTGCTCACCTAAAAATTGTCAAATTGATTCTGACTTATGGCAACCCTAAGTTGGAACCAGGAAAGTGTCGGCAGTTCAAACCCAGCAGTCACTCCTCGGAACTACAATACAGGGTGGTCAGAGTCGGAACCAACTCTACAGCACTTAACAACAACAAATAGGAAAGCACAGACGTGCCCCAGGGGTTTCTAGGCTATGATCCTTACAGGAGTAAGGATCTCTGTCCCGTGGAGCCGCTGGAGGGTTCGAACCACTGACCTTCTGGTGAGCAGTTGAGCACTTAACCACAGTGTTACCAGAGCTCCGAGTTTAACTACACAGTATGCCTATTCTTCTCCTGAGACTATAAAGACATCGCACTTCATAGTAAGACTCTAAGAAAGTTTAGTAACACTTGACATCTGGGCCATACAGAATAAGGGTGTTCAATAAATTACTATCAGTTCATTATTGTGAATCTGTAGAATCCTGGTGTGGTGCTGTAGAAAAAGCACTGGACTGTTAACTGCAAGGTCAGCAGTTCAAATCCAGCAGCCACTCCTCAGAAACTCTATACTGGGACTCTGACTTGGAACTGATTCACCACCCTTAACACCAACATTGTTAATTTGTTACAAGAGGAAGGTGTAAAAGAAAGGCACTCAGTAATCCCACCACCCCAAGATGTCACCACTGGTACATTTTCCCCACTCAGCATTCCATCATATACTAGATATGTAAGTGTTAAAAGGTTATGAGAACGAGCACAAAGCAGTGTTATAATAAACAGCTATAATCAAAGAGAATGCGTACGTACACCAAAGGTAACTTTTTGCCATGCTAGATATATAAGCAAAGATACATCTATTATGTCCTCTTTTAGGCTTCCTTTTTGAGGATAGTTCTAACAAAGCTGGAACCGTTGCTGAAATAGTGGTGTCTCCTAAAGAGCTCTGGTAGCGTAGTGGTTACGAATTGGGCTGCTAATCTCAAGGTCAACAGTTTGAAACTACCAGCTGTTCTGCGGGAGAAAGATGAGGCTTTCTGCTCCCGTAAAGATTTACAGCCTTGGAAACCCTGTACAGGGTCACATGAGTCGGAACCAACTCCACAGTACTTAACAACAACAACAACAATAAGGAACCAACCAACAATCACAATGGTATGAATGAACTGTATTTCCTCATTCTCCATTCTGGATCTGCAAAATTCATATTGCTGGACTAAAGACCAAAGACAGGGCCAGACCCAAAAGAATATTGTATGTCAGAGTCACTGGCATGACACATCCACCTGCACAGGGCCACTAGGATGGCACTTAGCAACAACATTTTTTAGACCCAGGAAAGTTAGAAACCCACTCTTCTCTGTCTGTGAAAGCTTCTTCAGGCTGTGAGTCCCTTTTTTTTTTTTCAAACAAAGCCTTAAATGGAGTTTCAATCAAGAACCTACTCTGATTGAAACCCACACCCTGCTCAGCACCACCCGAGTCATCCCGGACTTCCTTCTACTCCAACCCCTGAAGAAACTGGTCCCTAGAGGTCAAATGACTTTGCAAAAGACCATACAGGGAGTGGGGTGGCAGAGAACCTCCACAATCCAACACTTCCTGAACACCCTAATGTGTTTTGTTTTCTCTTGTGGTGGTGGTGATTTTGTGCCGTGGTGTCAGTTACGATTCATAGCGACCCTGTACAGGGTTTCCGAGGCTTTAAATCTTTACAGGAGCGGGGAGCAGTAAGTCTCATCTTTCTCCCATGGAAGAGCTGGTAGTTTCGAACTGCTGACCCTGCGGATAGCAGCCTGATTCGTAACCACTACGCTACCAGAACTCCTGGTTTTCTCTTGTAGATCACACTAAAGATGAAACAAATTTTCTAGCATGTTCATTATCAACAGTGCTGCCTTTGTTCCTCAACCTAAGATTTGACGTACCTACCAAAGATGAATCAGGTGTTAAGTGAAAGCTCAGCGATGAACGCATGTGTTCAGATAGTGGCATAGATTTGCTTTGCCTTCTAGAGCAAATGTGACATACTTACCATCACAAGCCAAGTCTGGGTCTGAAGAGGGTAACAAAGCAGAACCAATTACCAAAGCCCAGTTGTTGAGGCCCAATTGTCTGCTTGGTGACCACAAGATAAATAAATCGATACCTAGAAAAGCTTTATATATTTGTGTTCCTTCCATATGGCCCAGACGCTTTCATATATGTTATTTAATTCTCAAACAACCCTGTGAGACAGGTACACCTACTCTTTCTTCACTTACCGACTGTCTTATCTGACATTCCGCATCACGCCAATAGTAAAAAAACAAAACTACTATCCCACAATTTTGTGCATTGGCAACACACACCTGACAGTAACAAACACCAAGATGCGAGGTTCGAGAACTGCTGGCTGTGATGGTTACGGTTATGTGTCAACTTGGCTGGGCCATGATTCTCAGTGGTTCGGCAGTTAAATGGTATCATTTGGCAGTTCTATGCACTGAAATTAATCACCCTCCTTTTTGTGATCTGATATGGTTATCTGCCATTTTCACATAACACTGATTTTTGCATTAGAGATCTGGTCTTTAGAACCTAACCAAGTCAGGTATATAGATATTTTACTACAAATGAGCATATTGAGCCTCAAAGATGTTAGGTAATTTGCACAGGGCCATACAGCCAAATCAATGGTATTCCTAGGATTCCTAACACTCCTAAATTCTAATTCCAGTGCCCAGGCCCTCCCTTAAAAGGCAAAACAAAGGAGAAAAGTACCACATTTTATAGTGAGATAGGGAAGTGCTGATAGATTTCTAAGGGCTTGTTCATTAAGGGGAACAGCAGACCTAAATACTGTTTTTCCCCATAATTTGTTGTGTGGCCTTGGCCACAAAACACAACTGAGAGCTGGCAATCAAGATACCTAGGTTCCTCTTCCAGTTCAGAGGGACAACTTGTATGACCTTGAGCAAGTTTTGTCTTCAAGGGCAGGTTTTCTCCTCTGAGGAACTTGAAAATTGCTAAGATAACATGAAACTCTTCCGAGCTCGGACATCCCAGCTGTCAGCCAGAGCTAAAATTCACCAGATCGTAAGACTTCCACCAATAAAAGCAAAGGAAGGCGCTGCAGACTCCCCTCCCGCGGGTTCGGTGGTAACTCCACGGTGTAAGGTGCCCTGTGCCCTTTGAAGGGAAATAGCTACAAGAGCACCAGAGGTCAGACTGGGTGCGATCCAAGAAGGGAAAAAAACCTGGCAGAAAAACGGCCGCGGGATTTCCTCACCTGGAAAGCCTCCCAATCCCAAAGCCCGTGCCCGAGGCCTCTGAGGTTACAGGGCGGAGGGCCCAGCAGACACCAGGGAAGGCCTGGGCCGTGCTGGGGCGGATGCCTCTCCAACGATCAGCACCGCGGCGGGGACATAGCCTCAGAAGCGGCGGGGATGGCGCGGCCGAGGCAGCGATTCTCGTGACCTTCCAGGGCTCCGCGCGAGGCCTGGGCCCCAGCCCGGCCGAATGCGGGTAGAGGCGCGGAAGTCTTGCGGAGAGCCAGCCAGTATCTCTTCCTTGACCTTGACGCCGTTCCCGCTTCAGGCGCGGCTGCCCGGCCGCAGAGGTGCCTCTATCCCGCGTGCGGGCACCGGCGCCAAGGTGGCCCGACAGGTGCCCAAACTGGCCCCGCTGGCCGCGCGAATGTCCCCGCCCAGCACAAGCCCCGATCGCCAGCCTGCCCTCGGGGCTCTCTCGCTGCCACCTGCTCGCCACCCGATAGCCTGCCGGGAGCTCACCTTGGATATCCACGCCGGCCCAGCCATCGCGTCCCTTCTTTCACCGAGGTGATAGCGGTGGTAGCAGTGCGCAGTCGCAAGACTCGCGCCGCAATCCTTCCCTATCCCCGCCCCCTTGGAACTCCGCCCCTGAGCACGCGGCCACCTTTCGGCCAATCCCCAGGCTCGCTCGCGGTGATGCGCGAAGCTAGCCAAGAGTTGTAGCCCGGAAGGGTTCTGGCCGGGATCTCCCGGAAACCGCCTCCGTGCGTTCCTCTGTCATTCATTGATTCACTGACGTTTTTGTTGGGTGTTTGTTGTTTGTTGTTGTTGCTGTTAGGTGGCATCGAGTCGGCTCTGACTCATAGCGACCTATGCACAACAGAAGGAAATACTGCCCGGTCCTGCACCATCCTCATCTTTGGTACACTTGAGCCCATTGCTGCTGCCACTGTGCTAATCCATCTCATTGGAGGTCTTCCTCTTTTCACTGACCAACCACTTTACCAAGCCTGATGTCCTTCTCTAGGGACTGGTCCCTCCTGATAACATGTCCTAGGTATGAGAGAAAAAGTCTCACCATGCTGACTTCTAAGGAGCATTCTGACTGTACTTCTTCCAACACACATTTGTTTGTTCCTCTGGCAGTCCATGGTACTTTGATGTTCTTCTCCAACACCATAATTCATATGCATCAGTTTTTCTAAGGTCTTGCTTATTCGTTATCCAACTTTTACATGCATTTGAGGAGATTGAAAATACTATGACATGGGCCAAGCGCAATTTAGTCCTCAAACTGACATCTTTGTTCTTCAACACTTTAAAGAGGTCTTGTACAGCAGATTTGTCTAACGCAATATGTAGTTTGATTTCTTGACTGCTGCTTCCATGAATGTTGATTATGGATCCAAGCAAACTGAAGTCCTTGACAACTTCAATCTTTTCTCCATTTATCATTTTTTTAATGTTTTATTGTGAGTTATATGATAGTTTACATGAGAGAACCTCAGTTCCATATTCATTCCATCGTATATCATTACATTGCCATGGTTCCAATCCCCTCCAATCTCCATTTATCATTATATTATTTATTGATCCACTTGTCAGGATCTTTGTTTTCTTTACAATGAGTTGAAACTCATACTGAAGGCTATGTTATCTAATCTTTGTCAGTAAGCAGCTTTCAGCAAGCAAGGTTACATCATCTGCACATGGAAGGTTGTTAATGAGTCTTCCTCCAATCCTGATGCCATGTTCTTCTTTACATAACGCAGATTCTCAGATTATTTGTTCAGCATACAGATTGAATAAGTATGAAAGGATACAACCCTGGTGAACACCTTTCCTGATTTTAAACCATTCATTACCCCCTCGTTCTGTTTGAACAACTGACTCTTGGGGTATGTACAGATTCCTTGTGAGCACAGTTAAGTGTTCCAGAATATCCATTCTTCACAATGTTAATCATAGTTTGTCATGATCTACACAGTCGAAAGTCTTTGCATAGAAAATAAAGCACAGGTAAGCACGGTACCTGTCCACCATAGGTGACCCTGTTGATATTTAAATACCCGTGGCAGAACCTGCAGCATCATAGCAACACGCAGCCTACCATGGTACAACAAACTGACAGATGAGGGGTGGGATCTGTGACTATCAGATGTCAATCACTCTTCTAAGATTTGGAGATAGAACTCCTATCTTAGCATTTACATTACAGTGGCAGGAAAAAGTGTATTCATTCCACATTATTTATTTTCATTTTTAACATACTTATTGAAACATAATTTATGTTCCACAAAGTTCACTCTGGAATCTTACAGTTTGATTGTTTGTTTTTTGTGTTGTTTTTTTTTAAATGTTTTATTGTGAATTATGTGATCATTTACATGGGAGAACATTAGTTTTACATTCATCTTATCCTATATCGTTTCATTGCCATGGTGACAATCCCCTCCATGCATCATCAACCATACAGTTTGATTGTTGTTAGTAAATATAAACAGTTGCACAACCATCACTACAATCCAATTTTAGACAATTTCCATCACCTGAAAAAAGTTTGCTCCTGCCTATCTGCAAACCCTTCTCCCGTTGCCAGTCCGAGGCAATGACGGATCTGCTTTCTGTTTTCATTGTTGTTTGCAGATAAGAGAGTCTGACTTGTGGCAACCCCGTGTATACAAAGTAAAACTTTATAGGGTTTTTACTGCTGTGACCTTTCAGACGCAGATCAACAGACCTGTATTCTCAAGGGTCACTGATGGGTTTGAACTCCCAAACGGTAGTAGTCAAGCATTTAACTGTGCCACGCAGAGATTCTTAAAATTCTACAAATAGTTTTTTAGTGCCAACTGTGCTAAGTGCTGGAGTGTACCATGCAGTTGGAAAGACAAGTATCCTTATTTTACAAATACATAATTTAAAACTGACAAGTGTCGAGATGCAAATAGGGAAGAAACTAAGAGAGGGCAAAATCAGGGAACCTGATCAAATCTAATACAGAGGTCAGGGAAGGTTTCCCTGAGGAAATAATATTCATGTTCAACTTCTCTCTCATCCTCTTTCCTTCAGCTACAAACAGATCTGAAGTCCTACTAAACACAGGAGGCAGGGTGATTTAGACCAGTTCTCCCCCACCCCAAGCCTGGAAAGGATTCTATCCAGGGAGGAGCTACCCACCCACCCACAGAGGTGATGAATGTGGCAGAGGAGTAATGGCAAAGTCTTTCATGAGAAAAAAAGAATCCACCACCATTTTCAGCCTCTAGGGTTTCTTGGGAAGCTGGTATCCCAGTTGTAGTGTGTGCTACTGCCTGGCAGAAACCTGCATAACTGTGAGACCCTAAAAAATCAGGCTTTACTCTAACAGTCCTACCACCAGAGTTCACTGAGGACATACATATTCAACATCATTGTATCAAAATCCCTATTAGCCTCGGAAACCCTACGCAGGGTCGCTATGAGTCAGAACCGACTCCACAGCACATAACAACAACAATTACCTCAAAAAGATTTTTCCCTTTATTTCAGAGTGCCTTCCACTATCGAAAAACATGGTTGTTTTTGTTGTTCAGTGATGTCCCGTCTATTCTGACTCATAGAGACCCTGTCTAGGGTTTCCAAGGAGCAGCTGCAGGTGGGTTTGAACTGCTGACCTTGTGGTTTGAAGTCCGATGCTGACCTTACAGCACCACACCAAAAGTCCAGTACCCACAAAAAATTCAAAGCAGAAAATAATCAGGTCATGAAAGGGATTTTTTTTTTTTTTAACAACAACACAAAAACTATAGTTTAGTCAAAGGCCTTGTCAGGAGGAGGCCTCTCTTCCACTTCCCTTGAGCCCTTCCCCTCATCAGGCTTTGGCAGTCTCACCTTAAAGTGTTTCTTTGCTGGCCCCTTCCCTCTGTCCCGCTGCCACCTCTGCCCTCCTTCAGGCCTGGCCATCTCATGCCCAGATGATTGCAACAACCTCCTCACCGGTAGTTCTGCCCCTGTCAGACCTGCCCCCCACAGTCCTCTCCTCCAGACCCAGCTCCGACCCAGATTCCAAAGTGCTATGGCTCTAAAGCCACCTGGCCCTGCTGTTCATTCTCCTCTCACCCTGTCCTCTTACAGTCGTATTTCCTCCGCTCCATCCAGCCCCAAAGACCTGGAGCACCAGCCAAGTAGGACTGCTGGCCAGCCCCCAAATGTTTCTCATACTATTCCTCAGTGCCTACGCTCCTGTAGTCCTTCTGACCGAATGCCCTTTTGCCCCATTCCCACCTGCTGATATCAGAACTCAAATCAGATGTTGGTTCCTTTGGGAAACCCCCAAGGCCCACCCATATATCCTGTCTCCCTTATTCAGTGGTCCCCAGCTCTCCCAGAAACCTTTCCACATTCTCTCCTGCGGGGTACCATTGCTAAGACCTCCCTTGAGCACAGAAGAGATCTCTTATGTCTTTGTTTCTGTGTTATACCAAGGACACTTGCTGCTCAGTGATTAGGAGACACAAGCTGGATGACTTTCTCCAATCTCCATTTAATCCTTAAATGACCCTGTTAGGAAACTGAGGCAAGGTTAGTAAGCAATGATGGCTGCTATGGTTGTTAGGTGTCACTGGGTCGATTTTCCTGGCCCATAGGGTTTCCCAGGCTGTGATCTATATGAAAGCAGATGGCCAGGTCTTTCTTCCGTGGAACCCCTGGGCAAGTTTAAACCACCAACCTTTCAGTGAACAGCACCAAGGATCTTTATTCACACTGTTGTCGTTGTTGTCAAGCCGAGTCAGTTCCGACTCATAGCTACCCTGTGTAGGGTTTCTGAGAAGCAGCTGGTATATTTGAACTGTCGATCAGTCCAGTACTGATCCTACAGTGCCAGGAACCTAATTGCTAAGTTCCTCTGAGGGATCACCCAATTCAGCAAAGATTTCCCAACTGATCCCCATCAACTGCACTGGGAGGACACAGAGAAGAAGAAGAACCAGTCCTACCCTCCAAGGTTGTTGTTGTTGTTGTTGTTGTTGTTGTTGTTTTGTTAAGTACTGTTGAGTTGGTTCTGACCCATAGCAACCCCGTATAAGGGTTTCTGAGGAGCAGCTCGTGAGCTTGAACCGTCGACCTTGTGGTTCAAACCAACCTTGTGGCCCAGTGCTATGGTGCCACATCAGGACTCTAGGTTTCATCCAGAGGAAACAGTAGAACTTCAGGTGGTGACAGGTGTTCTGATGGTGGGAAGGAAGAGGCAGTTGATTACAGCAGATTCCACTAAGGAGCTGGCATTTGAATGGGCCCTTGAATTAAGTAAACGCACTTCCCATGAGAAGGGACAGGTACCAGCAAAGACTCTCAGGCTGTAAAGTATAGAATCCTCAGCACCTCAAGTTCTCAGACTGAACCTCTGAAGCTCCTCAGTTCAGCTCCTCCAACAGGCTGGCCTGTTGCTTACTCCCTGCCTCCCAAGGAGCGGGAGGAGTTTGGGAAGGACAGAAGGCACCTCATGGTTCTGCCCTCTGCTTCATGGTAAGAGATAGTCCTCAGAATACAGAGTCCTGTTTATGGTTGT